AGCTTTGCAGGATATAATATTCTGGGCTGGCAGTTGTTCTCTCTTAGTACCTGGGCTATATCTTGCCATTCCCTCCTAGCTTGTAGAGTTTCTGATGAGAAGTCAGCTGTGAGTCTGATTGGAGATCCTCTGAGAGTAATTTGAGGTTTCTCTCTTGCACATTTTAGGATCTTTTCTTTATGTTTCACTGTGGAGAGTTTAATTACAATGTGTCGTGGTGAGAATCTCTTTTGGTCTTGTTTATTAGGGGTTCTGTGAGCTTCCTGAACTAGGATTTCTCTGTCCTTCTCCAAACCTGGGAAATTTTCTGCTACTATCTCACTAAAAAGGCTTTCTAATCCTTTCTCTCTCTCCATGCCTTCAGGAACTCCTAGAATCCAAATGTTGGATTTTTTAATAGTATCCTGAAGATTCCTGACAATATGTTTTAGATTTCTAATTTCCTCTTCTTTTCTTTGGTCTGACTGTATCCTTTCCTGTTCTCTGTCTTCTAAGTCCGATATTCTCTCTTCTGCTTCACCCATTCTGTTTTTAAGGCTCTCTATTGTGTTTTTCATTTGATCTATTGAATTCTTCACTTCATTATGATTTCTCGTCACTATCACAGTTTCCTGTTGTACTAGTTGTTTTGTTTCATTTTGATTCCTCCTTAATATTTCATTTTCACGAGAGAGATTTTCTATCTTGTCCATTAAGGATTTCTGTAGTTCAAGAATTTGTTTTTGAGAACTTCTTAATGTTCTTATCAATTTTTTGAGATCTGCTTCTTGCATTTCTTCTATGTCATCATCTTCATAATCTTGAATTGGGGTGTCTTTTTCATTTGGGGGTGTCATGGTGACTTCCTTGTTTTTATTACCTCGGTTTTTGCGTTTGTTATTTGGCATATTGGAGATATTTGGTTTCTTCACTGTGGTGCTTTTTCTTGTTATACTATGACTCTAGATTAAGTGGACTATCTGTTTTTGATGGAGCCTTAGAGGCTTGAGATGGGTGTGGCCTGAGAGCTCTGGTGTGCCAAAGTGACACTCCCAGGTTAGGCGTGGTAGATCTCTCTCTCTTTCTTTCTTTTTTTGATTCAAAAGGAAGTAATTCCGCACAGCTGAACGAAGTTGGGGGTAGTTAGCAGGCAAATGATATACCCACAGGAGCCAGAGATCGGAAGCTCTTTCCCAAGGACCACACAGGGAATCTGTTCGGCCCTCAGAGTGGGCTCAAATTCTCCTTCAGTCTCCCACTGGGTTGCCAAAGTTACGGAATTGTAGCGTCTCTGGAGATTACTCACATGAATTCTGTGTGTTCTCTCCCCCACCGTCTCTTTTTTCACAGTCTCAGTTCAGTAGCACCACAAATTTACTAGGTCCTAATCTCCTGTTAATTTGCCCCGCCCAGAGTCAGGTTTTTCTGCTAGGCTCAGGGCCGGTGCAGACCTGAGGTCGCTCTGCTTATGACGTATGTCCAAGATGGTGCCTGCTCTTTGTCTTGCTCGCCCTTGAGAGGTGAGCGGAGAGAGAAACCCGTGTCCGTACCAGTCACCTTTTTTCTCTCTCTCTCTCTTCCAGTTAGCCTGGTGAACTTCCCCCCCCCCCACCCCGGCGGTCGTTCCCTCTAGTCTCCTCTCTCCGCTTGCCTGCCGGTGTCTCGGGCTATTGAGGTTCGGCTCACCTCGTGTTCCAGCACTGGTGTGTTGAGTCTGCCGCTGGTGTCCCGAACTGTGGGCTCCCACGCTCTCCACGCAGGTCCACTGTGAATCACGCGTTCCGGAAGAGTTTCTTCTGCTGTTTCCTCCCCTACTCTTCCTTGAACCTGCAGTATCTCCACTGTTATTAAAGTGTCTCTCCCCGGACTATCAGTGTGCTCCCTTCCTATTCCACCATCTTGCCTCCTCCGACACTTTTTAATTACTTAGTATAATCAGTGAAGAGACAGAAATCTGCATTTGTGAATTCAAAATTTTCAAGTTAAAACCCACTGGAAATTAAATTATTTAAAAAATTTTCTCTTACAATGCACAATTTTAGACATGATCAGAGACCTTTGGATGGCTATTTCTTTTCTGTGCTATTAGAAAAAAACTTTGTGGAAACATTCGAGAAACATTGGTCTGCATGCTCTCTGGCCCATAGTACTAGATGGCTGGTTAAAAAATGAGAAAGGCAGTAGGCGTGAAAGTGGAGGTGAATTGATGGAATCGGCCACCTTCTGGCCTGTGTGTGTGGCACAGATTCATTTCAGATACCTTCACGTTGCCACAGGAGAATGGAATAGTCCTGTGGCTAGAAAGTTTCTGCCGTCAGACCTGGGCTTTTCCATTGGGCAGCAGTAGGTCAACACCAGATGAGCTTCATCTGTGAATCTCTTTTCCGGGGCTCCACGCAGCCTATCTGCCGTCCATTCAGAGCTCAGAGTTCACACGTTTTGTGTTTTGTTATAATCACACTGTGTTTCTTTTTCCTTGTGATCACAGTTTGCTTCATCAATGCAGTCTGGGTGATCCCTGTGCTCTTCTAGTTGATTAGACACACAATTTGATGTCATTTTCCAAGTTCTATGACATGAATATTTTTGTGCCTATTTTGAATTGTAATTAGAGAAAACCATAACTTAATTCCTAGGGTATCTAATTTTGCTCTTAATATCTAGTATATAAAATATAAATGACTTGTCATCAGATAATGTTTAAGGTTCAGGGATGGAGCCGCAAGAAAGTGATAAGAAAGGGAAAGTAGTGAGAAAAGAGGATTTATCCTCATGTCATCAATTTTTTTTTTTTTTTTTTTTGGGACAGGCAGAATGGACAGTGAGACAGAGACAGAGAGAAAGGTCTTCCTTTGCCATTGGTTCACCCTCCAGTGGCTGCCACGGCTGGCACGCTGCGGCCAGTGCACTGCGCTGATCCGAAGGCAAGAGCCAGGTGCTTTTCTTGGTCTCCCATGGGGTGCAGGGCCCAAGCACTTGGGCCATCCTCCACTGCCTTCCCGGGCCACAGCAGAGAGCTGGCCTGGAAGAGGGGCAACTGGGACAGAATCCGGCACCCCGACCAGGACTAGAACCCAATGTGCAGGCGCCGCTAGGTGGAGGATTAGCCTATTGAGCTGCGGCACCGGCCACGTCATCAATTTTGCAATCCTGTTCAGTCCTACACTGTGGGATCCTATGAAGGCATCCTATCAATTATAGTTCCTGAAAACACCTCAGATGAAGGCTCAAGCTTAACTGATCCACAATTTCATTCAAGTTTATGGTGGTTCCTGCCAAGTGGGTCCTCCCTTCCTTCCCAAATCTCCTTGGATTCTGACTTCAGTGTAAGTTTTCTGTGCTGGTGAAGATTTCTCCATTGCTATTTCCAATGGCATCTGCCTCCCTACCTCAGGTTCCATCTCTTAACTTTCTAACATGTTATTCCCCCGGACTAGATTTCTTCACTCAGATCTTGATTTTTGCCACTTTCCTTCTCCAGATATTTTATTTCTACCTTGGTCCTAGAATCAGTGTCAGATCTGCTGCTTTTTGTAAAATCTTTATTTTGTTTGTTTGTTTGTTTTGTTTTGACAGGCAGAGTGTACAGTGAGAGAGAGAGACAGAGAGAAAGGTCTTCCTTTGCCATTAGTTCACCCTCCAGTGGCTGCTGCGGCCGCCTTCCAGCACCGCACTGATCTGATGGCAGGAGCCAGGTACTTCTCCTGGTCTCCCATGGGGTGCAGGGCCCAAGCACTTGGGCCATCCTCCACTGCACTCCCTGGCCACAGCAGAGAGCTGGCCTGGAAGAGGGGCAACCGGGACAGAATCCGGTGCCCCGACTGGGACCGGAACCCGGTGTGCCGGCGCCGCAAGGTGGAGGATTAGCCTGTTGAGCCGCGGCGCCGGCCCTGCTTTTTGAAAAATCTTGAGGAAGCCCACCTGTCTGATTCCTGTGTCTGGTCCTCTCCTTGATGAACAGCTTTTTCTAGGCCCTTGCTCTGCCAAGGAAGCCTTATGAATTCATTTAGCTCCTCTTCTAGACGGCTATCAACTTTAACAACATGACACACCAGGTCCCCACTCCTTTCTCCTGGCCGCTGCTTTTCTTAGGAAGAAGCTTTAGCCCCAGTGATTTACCTCTTGAATTTTGACAGATAGAAACTTTTTCCTCTTATTACTCCTCCATGTGACTTCCTTTTAAAAACATTGTAGATGTTTCTCTGGCTTTCACTGGAAGTTTCACTTCAGATACTCAGAAAACCTTTCACTGAGTTTGTGTGTAAAATTAAATTTTAAATTTTAAAATTAAGTTTTTAAATTTTTATTTATTTATTTGAAAGGCAGAGTTACAGAGAGGCAAAGGCAGCGAGAGAGAGAAAGAGAGAGAGGAGAGAGAGAGAGGGAGAGAGAGAGAGAGAGAGAGACTTCCATTCCACTCCTCAAATGGCTGCAATGGCCAGAGCTGGGCCTGATGCAAAGCCAGGAGCCAGGAGCCAGGAGCTTCTTCCAGATGTCCTTGCAGGAATCCAAGGACTTGCGTCATCTTCCACTACTTTCTCCGGTCACAGCAGAGAAGAGAGCCGGGTCAGAAGTGGAGCAGCAGGGACTTGAACTGTTGCCCATATAGGATGCCAGCACTATAGGCGGTGGCTTTACCTATTACACCACAATGTCAACCCCTAACGACAAAATTTTAAACACAAAATTTCAAGCAAAGATCGAAATGATGAAATATGAGATTCAATTAGAATATTAGCCATTATTTTGAGACTGATCAGCACTTTATAGCAAAAAAAATGATAGATCTTGAATAGGTAATTTTATCTCATTATTATAAAATTGCCACATGACTAAACAATTTATTTAGGAAATAAAGCTTGAAGAAGAAACTAATGGCACAGCACAATCTTGAGTGAGACTTTAAAATAGGAAATAACTGCATGCTTGCTATGGTGTGCATCTGTTGCTCTAAATTCACATTGCAAGTTAAATCTCTAATGCAATAATATTAGAAGGGGTGTTTAGGTCAAGAGGGCCCCTCTCTCATACATGGGCTTTAAAGCTTTCGTAAAAAAAGCTTTATACAACACTTGATCCCTTTTTGCTCTTTTGTTCTTCTGTTGTGTGAAGATACAGTAAGAAGGCACCATCTTGGAAACAGAGAAATACCAATGACAGTGCATTGATCTTGTGTTTTTCAGCCTCTACAACTGTAAGGAACAAATCTCTGGATTTTATAATTAGCCAGTACCAGGCATCTTGTTATAGAAGCACAAAAGGATTAAGGTAATTCTTCAAGCACATCTTGTTTTCACTTAAACAATTTTTTTGTCCTTTATCAAGCCCATATTTTGAAGTGTATTTTCTGGGTAAGTTGGATCAGTCATAGCTATAAATTCTGAAAAATGTACTTGCCAGTTTAAAAAAAAAAGAGTCCAAGAATTGAAGCAAAATAATACAATTCTAGAAATCTCAGTCTCATTTATTCTGGAACGTTTACGTTACAGTTGTAAAGCTTTTCTATGATTGTTTTGAACACTGAGAAGGTCATGACTCAGTTGATTTTATAGATGATGTTTGCTTGGCTGCTTATTGGTTTTATCTTCAACATCATGTCCAATACACAAAACTTATATAAAATCAGAACATAGATGTTACATGTGAAAAACAGTTTTGCTAAAGTGAGCCTTCTTCACAACTTCTTAAAGTTGTTAAAAGCAAAGAAATCAAGATTGATGCTTAATGATTAAGACCATTGAAGAACAGAATCAAGAGAAATTCTCAGTGAGAGCAAAATAAGCAATTTGAGAAACTATCAATGACTGCAAATAAAAAATTTCTGTGTCACCCATAACATAACCAAACAAACATGAAAAAATAACTCTACTCTTTTTTTCCCCTTCCTCTTTGGGGAAAAAGAAAGATTGGCAAAGAGTCTGAACCAGAAGTCTGAATCCATTTACTTCTAACTATTATCTTGGGAAATATTTCTAATTCTTAACCTGACTAGTTAATTTTCCCTCTGATAAGAAATCCAATTGCTTGTTTTGAAGTTTTTAACAAGAATCAAACAAGTCATAGAAGATCAATGTTCTTTGAAACAATAAAGTCATAAAGACACATCACACATTTACATGGGGAAGCAGGACCTGTCTTTGAGCCCAGTCCCAGATCCCCTTCTTGTTACTTTGCCAGCCAAGAAGGCCACACCAAATCTCAGGTTTTTCATCTCTAAGTGAGGAGAGTGATTTCTAAACTCCTTCCAAATCTAGACTTCCCTAATTTTCTAGAGTTCTGTTTAGCTTCATATTTTTTTCTGGAATTTATCAATATAAACTATTGGATTTGCACAGTATTGAAATATATGTCAGATCTTATGTCTTCAGAATTTGATTTGCATTGAAACAAAAATCATTTCCTATTTGAAAAATTTACCTGTATACAGTAAAAATCATTGTTTTGAAGTCATCTTTTGTTCTTATCTGGGGGACATTCCTTTCTTTCCTTAAAAACATTTTTGTTTTTTGCTTTATGAAGTCCATTTTTTTGAAGGAACACATATTCTGGATAAGATGGGTAATCATGATTGTAAACAATCATGCAAATGGAAATTTTCAAAAGTGAATGCACTTTTCAAAAAACCATATTAATCAACTCTATCAGATGCTACCTGGACACAGATAGGAGACAGAATGTCAGTGTGTGAGAAACTATATTCATACGGGGTTAGATGTGGCCAGGAGCAGAAAGTCAGGCAGATTTAGCTCAGATTCTACTGTTTAGAGACATTTTTGGGAAGGCTAGATTAAACTGTGTACGTATTTGAATTTACACATAAGACTCTCAACTTTGAGGAAAAAACAGAATTTCTGAATGCATAAAAATGCCACAGCAGGTATTTCCACACTTATTTTATTTAATAGCTTCCAATGAGTGAAGGAGATTTCATTATCAGCAAATGTGCCTAAAATAATTCTAAAGATCTTTTTAAGGAAGCAGATAATCTTGAAGGTTGAGGTGTTTCCTCAGGATGACAAGGAGCCTTGTAAAAATCAATCTGTGTAGAAGTGAATTATGTTTTATGGAAAAATCTGTAAAATGAAAAATGATCATTCTCATTGTCTAAATAAAAGTCAATAAAACTCATGGTAAGTTTTGAGAAAGTGAACTATACAAAGCATCATTTATATTTTTTGTGTTAGGGACATAAGGGCAACAGAAAGAGCTTAAGTTAGGATGGCACAGACAGGCACATACATACACTCACACAGGACTCTTCTCTGCCTCATTGTTATTCCTTTCTGAGATTAGCCAATAATCTCCTGTTGAAATAATGTAAGACTCCCAACCCCCAAATGCCTTCTAAGGAACACATCTATCATTATAAGAGTTTCTACTCCAATATTTAAATCCAAAAATGGTGTCACAATGAAGGATATGTTGTTGGGAAGAAAATGTCCATCCAAAGTAGAAAAACGACCAGTTAAAAATCACAATACATCAAAAAATATTTTCCAAGGATAACTTCCATTTACCCGATAGATTTTTCCATAAAAATTTATAAAACATGTTAAATAAAAAGCAGAACATTCAAGTAAGCTGATTTAATTTCTTCAGTTGTATAACCAAGGGGTTGGACTAGATACTAAATGTTTTAGGGCTAATATTCTGATTTGTCATCATAAGATATTAAAATGTGTCCCACTGGCTCATTCAAGTGGTTAGTGGCTTAAAACTAGGAAGCCTGACAATATAACTCTTCTAATTTACAGGTAGGAATGGCAAGTCCCAGGGAAGGAAAGAGATTACCCAAGGTTATCTTTTCATTCAGATATCAGTGTTATTTCTTGCAAATCATCCTGGTCATCAAGTATTTTGCTTTGTTTTAAGAGAGTCCTAGTTCCTACCCTTTGAAATTTTGCATTAGTAATTATGCAACAAGAGCAATAATTTCATTTTTAAAAGAAATCCTCAATATTCTGACTTGTAGGTAAAGGTAGGAGCCACAGATCATACAAAACTGCCTGGAATACAGTGATGGATGGTGTCTTGGCACCACTGCAGCAACATTTTCCTAACAGGTCCATCTTTTTATTACCCAGAATACCACCTTCCCAGTGTTTTCACCCCTCTGCTTTAAAAGCATATAATGACAGTGATTTCAATTGATTTCTAGATTACTTGTGGATTGATAGCCTTTACTTACCATCCAATCCAAAATCTTATCCTAGAAGATTATTTTAGCTTCACAATAGAAGGTCACCTTGTGGTAAAGTATGAATCTGGCCATCACCATGCTGCAGTCTTTAGCCTTTTAAGGCAGTTTGCTATTTTATAATTGTTTACTTTACCTTTGGGCATGGTATAGAATGAAGTGAGATTCTCTAAATGGTCAGAATAAAGAGAAGGCTCTTTGAATACATTTGGAATAAGAAATTCTTAACCTTTTCTGGCAGTAAAATAAAAATTACATAGAATTACTGATAATAATAAAACATAATTATTTTTGTATTATATAGACAGTGAAGAGCAAAGTTGCCTCTAAAATCTTCTGTGTAGAATTCCAAGCACCTCATCATTCTTATTTATATCAGTGAGAACATGGATCTTAGGTGTTCACTGTATTTAAATTGTAGAAATGCCAAAATATACATTTCTGATTCTTATGCTACAATGGATGCCAAAGTTTAGTTTAAGGCTTTTTTTTTGTAGCACACTATAAGAAGTATATTACAGTTCAGCGCTCAGTGAAATATTATTCCTGCTTTCCTTGTTAGTAAAAACAGTGAATTAGTCTTTTATCTCTTAATGTTAGGGAAAAGTTTAGAAAAAGGAAAAAATGAACAACTTACCTCTAGTCATGTATAACTCTAGATAAAGCAACAAAACTAAAAGCTTACCACAATTTTAACAAAAAGCAGAACTTCAACATAGTTTAATTTCTGTTTGCATCCCCTTTAAGGAATATTTGTCACTGAGATTGACAAAATAAATTATTTCGTCATGTCATTTATAAGGCAGTCTCATGAAACCAGCTCTGAGGATCAATACATTGTCAGAGCCAAACTAGACTACCAAATGATACATAAAAGCTTTTATGAATATTTATGCTATTTCAGAAGGTCGATCTGTTAGGTTTGTGACATACTTACTTGAAAGATTAAAAAAGGAGATCAATATTGTTAGTTCATCCTTACATGGATTAAGCAACTATGACTCGTATTTAGAAAACTACCAGTGTTAGACGTGTGTATAATGATTATTTTTCAATAAAGTTGACAGCCATGGAAGTGGTTAATTAATATATGTATACCTCAAATAACTTAAGTGGATACCTATTAAAAGGTCTACAAAATATAAACAGTACTGTATATTTTCAAAACTTTTAAATAAACACAAAGAATATATAGGCATACATGTTATAATTTCAAAGTGAACACTAGCACATACAGTTTTGTTATCTAAACACATACTAGGATACTTCCTATGACAACACATGCACCTACAAACAAATGGTCATGCACATAACCTTGCTTTCTGCCACTTGCAAGAAAGAATATACAATATCTGTACACATTGTTTCAACTGAAATCATATTGGGAAATTGATGAGGGTGACATTAAAAATTCTGGTCTAAGAAATCAAAACACAGGAAGATAACTGTTCCACAGATTAAAAACACTGAAGACTGATGGAAGGTTAAGATTTAAATTACTCCTCCCAGTGATCTTGAAAGATACAGTAGAAAACAGGACTGTCTGTAAACACTCATAATGCTGTTTGGCCACTGGGACTAGAGCTTTTGTAATCTAACAATCCAGGCCAGAGACTTAGACCATCTTTGCTTCAGATTGAAGAGAAATGGTGCAACTGTTGGCAGTTCTCCGTAAGGCTGGGGGTGCTGACGGTGATCTGGATGCCCATCTGGATGGGAGGCGGCGATTTGCTGGTCTAGCAGGTCGAGAAAACCCTTTTCCAGGGAAGGCCTTCACTGCCAGGGATTCCTGAGACACAAGGGAAGACATTCATCTCACTATACAGGCACTAATGGCAGACTATATATACTGTAGATCCCAACTAAGGGATCAATGTGGCCTACTTATAACCAAGAAAAGGCACTGAAAACTAAAGATGGTATCTGTCTAATATTTGTGGCTTGGAATGTTTAATCAAAGCAATTCAATTTTAATATAAATCATTACATGTGATAATCTTGTGGATCTCATTCACACTGACAAATTTCAATACAGTTGATGTCTTTGTAAAAATAGTTATGAGCTCAGGATTCAAAAGTTCAAGTTAAATGACTGATAGGATGGAATTACAGATGTCTCTTACCGGATTATTAGGATATTTAGTATTATTTAAAAATGAAAATGCCTTATAGAAAAACTTCTGCTCATTTATGTCTAGTTCATACTTCTTAGAGATCATAAGCAAAAGACATAAAAATCTCATAATTTATCTCTTTTTTTAAATTAAGGACACCATCACTATTTCTCAAGTTAAAATGATCATTAGTATACTTTTTCTTAAATTTCAAAATTTTAGAGAAAGAGATCCATCTATCATCCATTGGTTTACTCCCCAGATAACTGCAATACCTGGGGTAGTGTCAAGCCAAAACCAAGAGCCCAGAACTCCATCCAAGTCCCGTGCATGGGTGCCACGGACTCAAGTCCTTGAGCCATCATCTGTAGCTTCCCAGAGTGCACATCAGCAGGTCGCTGGATCAGATGTGGAGAGGGGACTCAATCCCAGGGCTTCTCATATGGGTTTCCTAAGTGGCAACTTAACCACTGCACCACATTGGATGTTTCTATTAAGATATTCATTTATTTATTTGCAAGTCAAAGTGATGGATTTATTTATGTGAAAGTCAGAGTGACAGAAAGAAAGGGAGAGACAGAGAAGATAGTGATGTTGTATCTGCTGGTTCACTCCCCAAATAGCTGCAACAGCCAGGGTTGGGCAAGACCAAAGCCAAGAGACAAAAACTCCATCCAGGTCTCCAGCATGGGTGACCCTAATACTTGGGCCATCATCTGCTGTCTCTCAGGTGCAGAAGCAGGAAACTGGGTTGGAAGCCTTAGGAGCAGGGGCTTGAAACCAGCCCTTTGAAAATGGAATGTAAGTATTGCAAGCTACAGCTTAGTCTGTTGCACCACAACACCCACCCCCAAGTACTTTTCATGTACCTTCATTCTAACTGCAAATAAAGAGTTGCTGTTTATATCGGGTATCTTCTGACAAATGAAAATGTTTTCCTTCTCTTTCTTTCTTTTCTTTCCTTTCATTTCAGTGGAAGAAAAGCATTCCTTATCAATTAAAAAAAATTTTAAAGGCTTCCATGATACATTTTATACTATTGGTTCTAAGTGACTTTCTTAGCCAATCCATGTCCTTGCATCTGAGATGGGCAGTGAGGAGGGGCTTGATGTCTACTAATTTTTAGTCAAAGCCTTATAGTAACCTGCATTTCCTTTTTTTCTCTCTTTGGAGTTGGGTACTTACAGAGGAAAACCAACAAAAGTACTTCTAGTGATCTCTAATAGAGGACTTCCAAATCCTCAATCAATGCAGAACAGGGAGACATTTAGGGTTATTCCTTGTTAGTTAACGAGAATTTTGGTTGGTTACTGTATATGTTTGAATTTTTCATCTCTAGCTATTTATGAGCTCAACTAGAGAAGAGAGAACTATAAAAACAGTATAATTATTTGTACCTCATAAAAACAGGGAAAGTTTCTGATAAAGTGGTGGAAAATATGATTTTGCGGGGCTCAAAAGGACATAAAAATATTTTTGACAACAGAAGGAGGAAACCATCATAGCTTAAAACCATGCTGAATACACACTGCATTATGTAAAACTAGAATTTTAGAAGGATTGGCTAACAATAACAGTATTTGTTACTGTTAGCTATATGTAAGCTGTTAACTGTATGTAAGTTGTTCTTAAAAATTGTAATTCATAGAAAGGGATTCTTGTAAATACAAATTTCTTTGATCTCTTTTTTCCTATAGTTAACAAAAGTTATACTCTTGTAAACAGATAAAGAGAATAACAGTTTACTTAAAAACCTCATGCTTCTTTAGCAACTTTCATGCTAAGAATATATATTTAAAAAGATCTTATTTCATATATTCTCTTTTAATTCCAGAGATAGGATTCTACAGGTCACTATTTTTAAATATTTACCCATATTAAAAATCATGTGACTTACTCAATATGAGCTAATCATACTTAATAACTGAAAATTATTTTTGAATAAAGAAAGCTTTAAAAGGTTAAAATTCTACGAATCAATAAATATGCAGCCTGAGTATTTTTCAGGAAAGAAACAACAAATATTCAAGAAGCCCAGAAGATGCCAAAACTTGTGCCTATGTTCTATTGATGTGTTGGGCAACTAAACTCAACTCAGAGCCATCACTAACTACCAATGCAGTTCCATTAACATAGGCTGTTTTGCTTTCTCACCTCTGTTATCTTTTTCCAATCTATTACTTGCTTCACTTGCTGTACCCCGCAAATAGCTGGGTTTCGTTGAAACTCTTGTTCCATTTGGATCATTTTTAAATGCCGACTTAATGTGTCACCACTACCGACATCAGAATTACATTTGGTCCATTGATCTTGGAAGCACTTAGAATTTTGCAATGCAGACCCTGTTGATGTCTCATAGGTTTTCAGCAGCTTTTCCACAACACCATAATTTGACCTGGGATCAGCTGACCTTGGTCGGCCTGACAAATTATTTGGTTTCCAGTCATGCTCATGGAGCATATTCCGATAACTGCTAGGACCTGTGGGTTCCGGCATTTGTCTGACAAGACCAGTTGTGAGTTTCTTGGTTGAATTATCAGGCACATTTCCCATAGGCACAGGCATGTGGGCACTGGTTTTCAGACTACCAGATACACTGTCACTTTTGGATATATTACCTGGATTTGTGGTTAAGATATCACAGTGCTTAATATCCTCAGATGATTCTGAGTAGCTTTGACTTTGCTGTACTGCACGACAATTTCTATCTGTTCTAAATACAGTTCTGTTAAATTCATCAGTCTTGGCTGCCAGTTTTTCATTCCTTGTTGTCCTTTCAAAACCACCATTGAAACTTCTAAGTGGGCCACTTCCCTGAATCACCACAGAGCTACAGTCATTACTTACATGAAGATCAGCATGAGATTGAGCAGGAGGATCTGGGATCATGTTTTCATATTTTGACTTATTGGGGGTGGAGCAGGTTTTCTGAAACCACACAGTAGGAGGGCTGTTTTTGGCATCTTTCCCAGTGTCATATGACCCCATGCTAAGACCAACATTTTCATTACATGGAGGCTTGCTATCTATTTTCACTTCTAATTCCAAAGAGGAAAATATGCCATCTTTCAAAGTCTTCCCTTCATCTGGACACAATGTAGGCGTCTCACGTTGCCTTAAAAGGGAATGAGGACTGCAGTTGCATTCACCTGGACCCTCATGAGTCACCCAGCTGTGGTGGTCTAAAATGTGCTTTAAATTTTCATAGGCTTTTTCGGAATATGACATGGGAAAATTTCGAGAGGTGCTCCTTGGAGGAGGAACTGGTGGGGTTTCATTTCTTTGCAGATCGATTCCACTTCTTTCCACTGATTTGCTTTGGAGCATATTGATACAGTTCAGATTCTTCCTATTTCTCGCTTTTCCTTTTACTAAATTGACTGGAAGGATGCACTGGCCATTGTTGATCATGTGGTCCCCAGGAGGCATATTAACCACAGTTGGCATTTTCTGGAGAAAAGAGTCTGACTTCATCCTAAATAATTTTAAAACATGGCAGATCAGTGATATCCTTATGTAGCATAAACTCTTAAAGAAAGTATGGCATAAGCAATGAATTTCTGATGAAAGGAGCCAAAAATTCCTCAAACATAATTTTTATATAAACATCTAGTCAAAAGTTTCAAGTCCCTTTTTATTTTTCTAAGATTTAATTTTATTTATTTGAAAGAGAGAGAGAGAGAAATCAAAAGAAATATCCCAAATGCCTGTGCACTCCCCAAATTCCCACAACAGCCAGGGCTGGCCCTGCTGAAACTTGGAGCTCAGAACTCAATCCAGGTCTCTCGTGTGGGTGGCAGAAACCTAATTACTGCAGACATCACTTGCTGCCTACCAGGATGCACATTGGTAGGAAGTTGGAAAGCAGAGCCAGGACTTGAACCTAGGCATTTGGATACAGATTATAGGCGTCCCAAGTAGTGTGTTAAACATTGCACCATATGCCCACCCCTCAAGTCTCTTTTCTTTTAGGATAAAGTCCACCCTTGAGTCTTACATTCAAAGCTGTTTATATGCATACATAAACTATCTTTTCAATCTTGTCATTCATGTTTTCTATTACCTGAAACTTCACCTACACTCCAACTAGATTATGTAGTCTCTTGGATTCCTGCTATTGGCATTCCGAATTCTACAGCTTTTCTCTTGCCCTGTCCTTACTTCCTCTCTGTCTACTAAGTTCATATTCATTTTACAAGATGAGTTCAAGATACTCCTCTTGAATTTGAAATGACATTGTAAATAGTAAGAAATCTGAGTAAAACTGCAATGAGACATGAATAATTCCAAAAGGAAGGTATGATTTTGGCTTCAAAGAAAAGTAAGATTTAGGAGAATGAGTTGAATAAAGGGAATATAGATAAAGTGGGGTGTAACAAAAATAGTACAGTTATTCAAGGAACAATGAATATTTTGGAATGGATGGGTTAGAAAGCAGATTAGAAAGGATAATGAAGAGAGAGAGAAAGATTAAGTCATGTTATGTGGCAATGTCTTTGAATTACATATAAAGATTTTGAACTTTTTCTAATGGCCCATGGGTGACAGTAAGAGCTTTATACCACATGTGATTTGTAAAAGAAAACTCGCATGTCTTTTCTGAACTACTTAAATAAAAACCAAACTATAGCAAAAAATGTGGATTTAAATAAAAACCTAACTATAGCAAAAATGTGGTTTCACAAATCAAATTTAACCATACTGATAAGCATAAATCATGATTATAGCTAGTCAACTTATAAAAGATTATGAGACAGCTTCCTATAAAGTGTAGATACATCTCCGCTAATGAACAATAGTAGACAAAAATCTAAAGAGCCCGATCCATGAAAAAATCATGAATAAAACACAATTGGCAAAGCAAATTTATGGCAAGTCGGAACCAAAGCTCCCTCTGAGCTTCCTCAGCGTTAAAAGAAAGAGCAACATGTTGTTGTGCTTACAGCCCCACAAGAGATAAATGCTGACCTTAGAGTAATCCTTCCTTACTTGTAAAAAATCCAAAACAGATTTGTTAATTTGGCTAAAACTTACTCTTATAATTACATATTGTTTCTAAAATAACATAGCACTTTTTGTGGCATGTGTATTTTGTATATATTTGTAGTATGTTACTCTGAAAATTCTGTATGCCTCCATTATATAGAGAAATAAATCAGACACAAAATATCTCAATAGAATGTCATTATATAATTAAAACACTACAGAGTTAAATGTGACATAGTACAAAGATGTATTTAACTGGATTAATTCAGTTTTATACTCTTCTCCTGGCTTAATCCTCAACATTAAAAAAAACATATAAGAGGATATTTGCTAATTTCATATGCAAGGTCTACCTTAACTAAACAACAAAAGAGTAAAGCATTCTTTCCTAATAGTCAAATTTCAAAGAGGGCTGAAAGTTTGCTTTAAGAATTAATGAATAGACTCTATCTTCTATCAAACATGATAAATTTTAATAACTAGTGGATTACTACTAAAAATTATAAAGAGGAGTTGCTTTGCAATAACTAAAAATAATATTCTTTTTGTTTTCCAACATAAAACAATTATAGCTACAGCAGCTTACCTTCTGTGATTAGACTGCTTTCGAATTTCCTCTTGAAAGCTGCATAATTCTTCACTAACTTTGGCAAGTTCTTCAAGAGCCTTTATGCATATAAGCAAGAGCACATTAGCACTTTGACATGTAAACATTTCCTTAGAAACATCTGTAGGTGAATCACTTCCATACTTACTATGTTGAGGGCGCCAGCACAGCTCCTGCTCTCTCTCTCAGAAGCCCCCAGACCAGGCCACGCCTCACATTCCTTATGGTTGTCTGTGCCCAAAGGATTCACAAACCCTATTGAGGTTTTTGCTGCTTTTTGTTCCTTACACATTTGATTTCCTTTGCCGAGTGAACTCTGCTCTGTTTTCGTTTCTTTTTCCAGACCATGCCTGTGATTCATCCGGGTAAGTTCGTGTTGTCCTGACTCTGGATAATCTGAAGAAGGATCCACCGTTGTATCTTGAGCGGCCTTTTCATGATCAAGAACCACCATCTTAGCACGTTCGTTCATGTTGATTTTCCTCCGAAGCTTTACTTCCTGACAAAGCTGTGTGAAAATCAAATTCTCAAATTAAACTTTATTTTTGTAAGTTCACTTTTGCCAGTATTTGATACTAAGCAAACCATTTTGTGTTCTCTTTGCCATAGAACTATATACTACCCTGGGTATGTTTATATTTAGAGCTCTAAATACTGACTCTAAAACAAGGATAAGCTTGGGCAACTGCAATGAAGTGTAAAGTCTACTTTCTATTGGGGCAGCTCAGGCATGCTAAGTTCTATTATTCTGGCTAGTAACCAACGTCTTGTTCAAAAACAAAATAAACCTGTATGTCTAGACAGAGGAGCATTGTTGCAAGATTGGCATTACCTCAATCTATTACTGGCCATGCTCGAGCTGCTCGCAGAGTGGAGCAAAAGTTACTGATATAAAAGTCATGTATATATGTGATTTACTAGTATTTCAATATTTAACTGTCTAAATAGTCAACAATCTCATACAGCAAGTCAATTCATTTTGCTCGTCAATGGGTGATTTCTTTGTTTGATCAATTACCTTCATGAGAACTAGATACTACGGAGTTTGTTTTTTTTTTCATTCCAAAGCAATAGATATTCTAAGGAAGCTTTTCATCCAGATTAAAACAAATGTGACAGTGTCTTTTGTTATATAATAGAATTCTAAGGGTATGATCACCTACTAGTCTTTATGTGGATCCCAAACTATTTCTTGATGAGACTTTAGTTGACAGGCCTTCATTCAGCTCACTCATGAACAGAGGAAGAAAAATGCCCTCTCTTCCAACTTCAGTCTTTGAAGAGTTTGCCAAATTTCCAAAGAGGCTCCCAAACAATTATTTAACCAAGTAATTCTACATTTTACAGTGATAATCAGTATCTGCACTACATGTATTATTTAAGAAATATAACAGATTTATTGATGCTCAATATTTACCCAAATCTCAGTTGAGAGGAACAATATTCATGGTTGATGTCTGTAAGACAGATGGCATGATATAATTCTTCTAAGTATATATTTCTGAATATACATATGTGTGACATATACATATAAGATGTGTGATAAGGTAAGCATGGTGCTATTAAGGTATTGGAAAGCATCATGAATGAGATATGCTTTCTATGTAATTGTATACCACATGCAGCAAGACATAAATAACATCACTACTTTCCAGGATGAAGAACAAATACTACAGCCCTCTGTCTCCCTGATGCATAAAGGGAAGTATCTTTATGAGCTATAATCTTGTTTAAAATATGCTAATGTCTGCTTATTAATAAGGCTAGTAGTGATCACATATGAGTCAATAGAGTTGTCAGAACAATTAATAACCAATAACAAATTAAACCAGACAGCAGATTGTTTTAGTTACATGGCTTAAACTATTAGCTTGACTGAATTTTACAATCTTTAATTATTTTGCTGGGATGCTAGAATTACCTGAGATCTTTACCAAATCCTTGGGAGCCAATGACCTATAACTATAAATTAATTTCTTATTGAATTATAGATTAAGATTCTGATTGACCTACGTGTCTCTTTGTTGATCTGATCTGAGTCTCTGTGTAAAGAAATTAAGGGAGTAAGCAGAACACATTTTCCAGACTATAAAGAGATAAAATGCGTTGGGGGTCTGCAGTGCCAGCCTCCCATATGGGTGCCAGATCGAGCCCTGGATGTTCCATTTCCAATCCAGCTCTCTGCTATGGCCTGGGAAAGCAGTAGATGGCCCAAGTCCTTGGGCCCTTGCACCTGCGTGGGAGCCCAGAGGAAGTTCCTGGCTTCGGATTGGCGCAGCTCAGGCTGTTGTGGCCATTTGGGAAGTGAACCAGCAGATGATGACCTCTCTCTCTCTCTCTCTGCCTCTCCTACTCTCTCTGTGTAACTCTGCCTTTCAAATAAATAAATAAGTCTTTTTTTAAAAAAGAGAGAGATAAAATGTGATTCCACCTTTCAATTTCTAAGTATACTACTTGCCTGCCTTCTTTGCTCTATTTTAGAAGAAAGGCTTATTCTTTTTTTTTAAGATTTATTTATTTATTTGACAGGCAAAGTGGTGACATTTTTACTGGCAGACGGATATAAAAAAGCAGGGAGGAAGGGAAGGGGGAGAGACACAGAGAGAGGTGGGGGTTAAGAGAGAGAGAGATTGACTTCCATCAATTGGTTTACTTCCCAAATGGCCATAATGGCTGTGGCTGGTCCACATGGAAGCTAGGAGCCTGGAACTCCACCTGGGTCTCCCATAACGGTGGCAGGCCACTGCTTTTCCTTGGAGCCAAAGGCTGGGCTGATTCATATAAGGATGCTGTCCAGAAAGGCGTTTGCTGGGTTCACAGAGATGGAACAGGACAGGGAGAGTTGAGGAGTTCCAAGAGCACAAGGAGTGGTCCATCTCTGAACTTCACTTTGACCACCTGTCTGTAAGGACATGCTTTGTGCTGTTAACAGATTTCAGGGTGATCCACTTCATTCCACAGGACTTCCCTCTCAGCTTAAAGGAGTTCTCCTTACGTGCATTTTGTGGTGAATGGTCTTCCTTCCTGCCAGAGGGCCAGTCACCAGTCCAAAGGGGACAGTGGGTTCTTCAACTTCAGTGTACACAATGTAATGTAGTGTATTTCGTGTATCTTATATTATGATCCATCACCCATTATTTTCCTGGAGGTTTGAGATGCCCTAGGTGGTAGGTGATACAGAAGCCACCTCTGTTGTTTGTTGTCATGATGTCTTTTCTTAACAAAAGCCTTGTGTATATTTGTAATAATAACATTTGTACAGAATTCTAGAAGATTTTCAATCGAATTGCCAAATATGGCTCCTTTACAAAAGAAATCTTTGGAAAATGAAAAAAAAATAATAGCTAGTCTTCTTTATTTTTCCTTTTAGCATTCCAATTTGTATTTTACTCACAACTGATTAATAAGAAAAATATGTACATTACAATATATAAAGCACTTGCTTTGGTTGTTTGCAAATAAAGGCCAAGGAATCTGTTAAAATAACCACTTTGATTATATGCATAAAACCATGCAATTCAATACTATGGCTGTTACCAGAATAATGCAAGATAAGCATAATTTCTAGTTTGAGCCAGTTTGTATACTCACCAATGCAAATGCTTAAAGGAAATATTCCATGCCCAACAGGCTCAGGAATAGACAGCAAGAATAAAAAGCCTATTTGTCTTAGAGTCATCACATGTCATTTTCATAACCCTTCTCCTAATATGTACCAATAAATGTGCCACACCTTGCCAAAAGAAATCTCATGCCCATAGCCATTAGCATTTGATATTTGATAACCCTGTTGATTACATTGAGCTGTCTAATATGTAATTTTCTTTAATAAACATTTATCATCGATTATCTCAGGAAAGATCTATGTTTTAATTCTTAATTGTAATTTTGCTAATATATGTCCCACTAATTATTTCTTTATTGCATTTTCCTCCTGAGCTCTGGTGTTCGAAAATTTATTTAAATTATGTACTCATTTTTGGTACCATGACTCTCAAGCTGGAAAAAAATAAATGAATACATTTTAGAGTGACATTTTAATGTCTTAATTTTCATGCAATGCTGTAAAAAAAGAATAATCCCCAAGACACCACTGGGTAAGACAATGCTATTTCTGGCTTAGTAAATGTCACTGAGACATGCATGTAGTAGGTGGAATAAGAAAATTAAAAGAGTTTAATACAAAATAAAACTTCAACAGAATTTGCATTCTGAGATTAAAGTTCACAATAGTCAAAACAAAGGAACTTGTACCTCTTCTATCTTCTTCTGCATGATCTTCCATTGACTTTCCCATTCTTTTCTTTCATTGTCAAACTGGTCCAGCAATTCCATTTTCTCCTTGTGCCAGTCAGTCTCTGTGTTCTCCCACTGCTTATGTAGGTCCATGGCAACAGTGTGAGTGTCAGTGAAGAAGTGTTACTGCTCCTCTCTGCCTTCTCTTAACTGTTTCTTGGAAGCTTAGAGTTGTTTTTATCTGAAGCAGTCTCAGTTGCCTTTAAAATAAAGCCTAATATAAACACAACGAGACAGAGTTCCAGATCCCATGTGCTTTCTGGAAACATATTTTATCATTTTGTCAAGAGCCATTCACATAAACAAACCATAGAAAATTAGACTCCAAAGAAGAGATGCTTAATTGTAGCATGACAACATTACTCTAAAGGTAAAGAAATTAACACAGTCAATAAAGTAGCAAGGATGTCTAAAGTCTTCTTTTCCCCCTGTTTGAGACCAGACAGCAAAATCATAGTGCACAAGATGGTTAAATGCACATTTGTGATACAAATATTCCTTTATTTAACCACCTAATCTAAAAATGGATTTTTTTCATGAGTACCTAAAAACAGAAATGTGAAATTAAATTGTATGATCACATGTACATACTACAGAAAATTCTGATGCAAGAGATTTACTGGTTGTGCTCCGATGTAATCTGATAACATATTTCTGTGATTTAGAGTCTTAAGTCAGTGCTGGACTACAGTCTCAATTCTACATTCAGAGATCAAGCCCATAGCTTATGTGATTACTATATCAACTAAGACCCTGAAGTTGATGGTCAATTTGGGACAGATGTATCAACAAGAAAGAAACTGAAAGTATATGTATGTATACACATTTATGTGTGTTTATGTATATATATATATTTATATACTTATATATGTATATATAGTTTAAAACCATCTAAATGCATAAAAACTATCCTGTGAGACACACATTGAAATTTACCCATGCTTCCAGTTCCTTTTAATAGTCTATATACCATAAACTGGTTAGGAGACTAAATAGAGAGAATTGAAGAAAACATTTTATTCAGTTTGTAGAGAATCCTCTATATTACTTTAAGTAGTGAATGAAATATTTAGATTTCTAGCATTCACGGTAAGTATATTTAGAGGCTGGACATGCAACTTAAAATACTAGATATGTTAGGCATCTTACATTTCTGAGATTTAATTTATTTAAAAATGATAATATTCACAAATTTTTGTAAAGATAAAATGAAATATTGAATGTAAAACAACATGAGAAATTTTCTTTTAAATATCTTTCTTTGATTTAAGTTGAAAATAAATAGCTGTTAATAATAAAGTCATCTGCCTTTTTTAGTAGGTAGAAGAGCATGTTTAAATTTTTGAATCTTTATTTAAGGCAATTATGCCACTAAGAATCTCTTAAGTTTATTAAACCATTACCAAAATGCCTATATCTTTCCAGCAACAGCTTATGCTAATTATGGCCATGTCCCAGTAGTCAGTAGCATTGTGGATGCTGGCATTGTAAAATTAAACATGCATAACCAGGAAGCAAGTGCCAATTTTGTATTCACAGAAAATGGTGGCGTATTTTGTATCCCAAATATAAGATAAATATTGAAGACTAATTTTATTTTTGTCTAAGGCTGTTCTGAACAGACACATCAGAGAGGTAAACAATTTTGAGCATATTTTTTGAGCTGCAATCTATCAATGAATTGTAATAAACTAACAAGAATAAAAAAGTCAACTCCTTACTCAGGGCTTCTCCTTCAAAAGTACCCTAGGAATACTGGGATTTTCAATGTTACTGTTCCCTTAAACTATTTGGTGAATACACTTTGATATTTGTAACCTACTTATTTGGCACTAATGGTTTTATGATTAATTCAGTAAAGACAAATAAGTCAGCTTTAGCAATTAAAGATGCCATCTTATGTCATTTTACCCACTTAGCCATGCTCTATTTCTAACTTCATTTTCCATCCCCTTTAACCTCCCTTCCTTCTTTTGCTACCCTCCTACCTACAAGCCCAGAACTAAAAATACTTGCCATAGCAAATGCTTACTTGCCCCCAAATAAATGTCAGTAGATACATCTGTAAAGAATATAGAGTTTGCTTTTGTTTGTTTTAGTTAATTGTTCATTGATCTTGATTGCCTAGTAATCTTTTAGGTTCATCTAACAGCTAACCCACAGAAAATGCAGACAGTGCTTATTTTCAGACTGGCTGAGTGCTTTAAAACTCTATGTAATTAGCTGTGAGCTGAAATTGTCTTGAGACTAGTGTTTACCACTGGACCTTCTTAGGAAGAATGGAGTGATTTGAGATTTCAGCAATGGTTGTGAACTTAAGCAATCAAAGAAGTTATAAAAAGGGAGCAGACTAATTTCAAGCTACCTGAAAAAGAGGGGCTATGCTATTCCATGTTTTATCCCAACTATCATTAAACACCAGAAATATTCAGAAATCACTATCATAAGGTTTTTTTTTCCTACAATTTTGTTGTAAGTGGTTCCAGTTTTTCTATCCCTAACTCTTCTTGAACCATTTCCATCTATACTAGAGTTTAGAAGGTGCCAAATGCTTTTTGTTTTTACATACCAGATCATCTAGGAATACTCTAAATCAGCCTGCTCTCAGTAACAGGTATCTCTGAATATCAATTTGCAAAGAACAAAACCAGTCTGTATCAACTTGCAAAGAATAAAACTCATAGCTTATTATGGAGCCAATCTACAGAGCATCCCCTTCCCAGCACCAGAGTGATTCCAAGTGCCAGGAAATGTCATGGTTATGGATCAGAAAAGCAAGCTTTTGCAAGAAAGTTTCTGTAGAGTAATATCCATGCCGATTTTTATAGGAGGACTTCAAGTTAGCCTGTCTGGCATCTCTGTCTTGTCATAAATTTAAATATCAAACATAATGCGGCTGACTATGTCGCTTCTTTCCTCTAAAAGGGGGGAATGGAATTGTTTCAGTGATTAAGTGAGCAAGGGAGACAATGCTTAAGCAAAGTGCCTAAACACTGGTTAAGATCGTAGTAAATGCTTCAGAGACGCCTTCCTCTCAGTTTCCTCCCTCTTTTTTCCTTTTCCTTTCTTGTCTTCCCTTCTTTTCTCCTTCCTTTCCATCATCTATCCCACTCCCCCTTGTCTGTAATAAAACTGTTCATTTTGATTTCACTTAAGCAGGAAATTGATAGCAACACGTCTGTTCACGTGAACTCTCATGCTGTCCATGATTCTCTCTTGCTGTTGTACTTGTCAACTGTTTCAAAGATACATGCCAAGTTAACTGCTCAGGAAAACAACTTTTATTCTGTGTAAAAATTTGAATTAAGTCTTACATGAGACTGCTTTGGTTATAACATAAATATTTAAAGAAATCAAACTGAAGGGGTAACTTTGTAGGGACAGAATGTTCTGTAATGCAAAACTATGGGACAAAGGGGGTCAGCAGATTCATAGACTCAATTTTAGTGCTCTGGACTGAAGCAAATATAAAAGTTCTCTTTGTTCCTGGTTGACACCCTTTTCCTCCCACGGATACTGGCATCTATGTGGGGGAGAAGGGAGGATTCCTGCTGTCTGGATCCCCCTCCTCATATCTCTTGAGCTCTCAATTTCATCTCACTCCTGCTGGAATTTCATTCAGAATAAAAGTTTATTAGGGCAAATGGGAAAGGACAGAGTGTGCTGCATTACTGAGTCACACACAACTTTCTTCCCTAACAGCGAAGCCAGCATTACATAATCCCTTTTAACCCACTTCCTTTCCCCAGGCTGCAAGCCAGAATTGTAAAAAGTTGTGAGTGGGTTGCATAAGTGTGGTGACGGGAGGCAAATACTTCTGATAACCTTCCAGCCCTTCCAGTGAGAAGTATTTAAGAGGAACACAGGGGTCTTGCAATAAGTAATTTTCATCTCCCAAATTAGTCTCAGTTTGATCACGGCAACACTTCTTTCTCTGAGGGGTGCTTCATTCTTACCACACCTTGGTCGTTACCACTGCAATCTTCACCTCGCCCACTGACATCTGATTTTAGGCAACCGAAATAAACAGTGCTTGGGGAGGTTACTCAATTGCTACTTCTCTGAGATTGTTTTGGGTGCAGAGTAATTGTTTTCTGCTCTCATAGTTCCTTTTCCTAAACGTAACTTTTTTATTATATAATTGAAGATTTTTCATGTATAAAAGGTTACATATGCCAACATGAATGCCACACACAGGAGGGATTTCCTATCTCACATTTGGCCCAAAGAGGTTTTGCCTCTGATTCTGAGGGACTGGGAATTCCTATGCCCATACCTATCTGAGTGAAGCGTCATTGGCCTCCACAATTTGCCACTTTCTCCATGCTAATATACATCACCTGCATCATTTGAATGAATTAAAAGATCTCAATTATCTCAGTATTTCCCTTTGTTCAGCTGCCAATGCATCTTTCCAAAAACCAATCTGATTTGATTTCATTGCAGAGTACAGGGAAAAAAATTTTATTGTTGTTTAGTGCTATTTAAGCACATTCCTCATGTTCCACCAAGGTCAAGAGATACAGTACCACATGCTTCATTCTGAAGGAATCAGTATTGCCTTCTCATTAATTTCCTGTTTTCTTTCCATTTCTTTTTCTCAAATCAGCAATCATTCAAGCTGTAGAGACACTCATGTTACTTCACTTGCAAAATACAAGCTTTGATATGTCTTGAACTAAAGATATAGTGGTAAACTTTCCTCTTAATTGTACATTAACCCATTATGAATGACTCAGATTTCAGTTCAAATTACCAAAACACTTATCTTACGTAAGCACAACCTTATCTCGGATAAAACTTCATTTATTTATGTTTCAGTGCAATTTTCAAATACCAGCAAACTCAAATTGTTAACTTTAAAAATCTTCATCTACATAATTATCACGTTCTAATACTAATTGCATTTAGTGAAATCCCATGGGGAATAAAGTGCTTTTTAAATAACTGAGAAGCAGCATTTGAAAAACAAAGTCTCAAAGAGTGGATGTTACTGTCATCCCAGGGTCAGAAAATCCACCCTCAGCAGCTGCACAGCTTCGCCCTGTGTCAGGGCAATCCGTTATCCACCCCGCCCACTGTTCTTCAGCCCAGACACACACACACCAGCACGGGCAGATGCTGAATGTCAGTGCACTGAAACCGTATCCACAGTCTAAAGCAGTTTGAAAACAACCCTCTGCATCTTGCCAAAATCAGTCATTTGCTTTCAGACTTGTCAAACAGAAACATACCTTTTTGCACCGGGGGGAATTCCTACGGATGCTTGACCACTGGTCAATCTCACAAAGGAAGAAGATAGAGTGGAGAGCTAGTCATCTTAAAGAGAAGAGTTTCAGTTTGGAGAATCTTGAATCTTTATGAGAAAACGGATTCCAGAATCAGTCCAGCCATTCCACAGAGCGGCAACGACAAGTTCCTTTGAAACCTTCAGCACGTTCTCAAGTCAAAAAGCTACTCAGCTCAGTGTCACAGCAGCAGAGGAGACTACTGTGACGTCAGTTCCTTGGAGGCGGCTTTCAGGCCACCTCTTCCAACCAGAGCTCTGTAACTTTAGAGCGGCTCCTACACTGGGTAAACAACTCCTGGTCCAGGACATTTTTAGCTTTTATAATGGAGCCCAGTATTTTCAAACTCTCCAGAAGTGCTGGTTGTTGACATCACATGAAGACAATGGCCAATTTTAGATTTCTTTTATTAAGGAAAGTAAACTCATTTTTATAGGTAAGAATTAACCCCCTCCTTGCATACCTCTCTTTCACCCTTCTCAGCTGCTGTCAGGATGCACTCACTCTTCAGTGCCTCTAAAAGTTTGTGTCTGGATGTGGCAGAACAACATAGGTAGTAAATATATAAATATATATGATCTCCACCATCTTGCGAAAACTGACTGAACTTCTGTATTGAAATAACAGAAAAATGGGTCTTATAAGAACACCAACCTCACAGCACTGTGTGATTCTCTGATAGCATGTTGCCCATTTCATTATGCTAGTGATGTTTTTACAGTGAAGGAAATAAGAGCCCAAGGGAAAGGATGATACTACCTATTATGGGAAGGAAAGACAATAATGACAGCCCTACATGCTTGTTTTTGACTGAGGTGTGCAGCAGCCCAAGTATAAGGAAAAGCTCCTTAAATCACAATCATATTGGCCTATCCTGAAAATGTTAAGAGTCTTTGCTTCACCAGCAATATTTCCAGGCTTTTTGTGGCCAGGTACACACATGAATCTCATGTTTGGCTTAATTTAGTCAAAAAGTCTCTACATCAATTTCATGTTTATTTCAGCAAACCAGCTAGATTGATATTTAAATAATAAGGTTCAAAGTGTTTCCCTGGTGTGATCTTTAAAGCATTACATATTCACTTTATTTTTATTGGCTTCCAAATAAATAGCTCATAAGGAGCTGAAAAGTTGAGTAATAGCAACCCACTCATATTTGGACTTGAATACACACAGGACAATTGAATGAAATCCTGACTTTATGTTTGGAAAGCCTGACATCATAATCTCAACAGCATTAACAACAACAATACAATAGTAACAACAGAATTATTCATAACTCCTGGCAAGGCTAAGTACTTCAAATAAATCTTTATCTGAACTCACAACAATTGTGACTGTAAATTTTATTAACCCGATCTTCCTGATAAAACTATGGCTCAGAGATGGAAAGGATCTTGCCAAAGTTCATAGAAATACGCCCATGTGGATATGTAGGGCTTGCAACTAGTTTCCCTAATTGGAGACTCTGGAATTTTGCCAAAGAGATCTAGGTTTCAATTTTACTGCCACCACTTATCTGTGTGATTTTGAATCCTTTGTTTCTTCATTAATGGATAATTTTATTTACTTCATGAATGTGAGAGAGAGGTGTATGTATGTGGCACAGAACAACTGTTAGCTGGTGTCTAACCTCTATATCCATCCTTCTAGGACAAAAAAAAAATGCTGAGAGGGAGGGTAAAGGAGGGAGTTGCCCAAAGCATCAGTATAGGCTTACCTGATAACACTGTTTCCTCTGCCCTTTCCTTCACTCTAAACATCTTAATTTCTATGTATCCTTTGTAAATCAAGTTAAGACATTTTTCCAAATCTTATCAGGTAACATGTGGCTAAATTATGTTAATTAGGTCACATCCAATAGTATCTGTTTCAGTGCTCTTTTCCATGTATATCCTAGTAATTGCTTATTGCAGATGCTTCACCTAATTTTTGTCATGGTATAGTTGGCCATAAATCTCACTTGGAATCAAAAACTAGTGAGGCCCGCACCGCAACTCAATAGGCTAATCCTCTACCTAGCAGCACCAGCACACCGGGTTCTAGTCCTGGTCTGGGCGCCCGATTCTTTCCCGGTTGCCCCTCTTCCAGGCCAGCTCTCTGCTGTGGCCCTGGAAGGCAGTGGAGGATGGCCCAAGTGCTTGGGCCCTGCACCCCATGGGAGACCAGGATAAGTACCTGGCTCCTGCCTTCGGATCAGCGCGGTGCACTGGCCGCAATGCACCAGCCATGGCAGCCATTGGAGGGTGAACCAACCGTAAAGAAAGACCTTTCTCTCTGTCTCTCTCTCTCACTATCCACTCTGCCTGTCAAAAAAAAAAACCAAAAAAAAAAAAAACCAAAAAAAACCCCAACAAACTAGAGAAAGGCCTTGAGAAGAATTTCACTATGTTAAACCATGCATACTCATATTTATCAATAATTTATATATTATATACAATAAATTGAATAATATATGCATTATCTATATTTTCCACACCATATTTCATATCCAAAATATATTAATTAAATTAGATACAAGGGCAACAAACATTCATTATAATTCTGAATCTTTACAAAATTCTAAGAAAATTTTTGTTTTGATAAAAGTTCTTGTAGTTATATGCATACAATAAGTTGGCTAAAAAGACTAATGCTGGTGCATGTAGCCCTACAGTGATTTTCAGATAATGTGAACTGCCTTAAATTTTCAAACAGGTGTCAGAATGGCTGACAACTTTATGGAAAAATTGTAATTTGTAATGTAATCTAAGTTTACTTTTAAGCCACATGAACATTTAAGACTTCAATTTTGAAATCCACCAAGATCACTGCTCTATGTTTTGGAAACAATTATAGCGTGTGTATCTGATGACATAAAAATCCTACTTTACTGTACTGATACATAAAGAAGTGAATGCCATAACATTTAATAGGAAATAAATGTAGAAACACTAGCTGCTGTCAATTAACAAAAAAGAAAATTCTACAAAGGATGTTAAAAGAACTATACTACTACTAATAATGAGCCACAACCTAGAGCAATTCAGAAATGGGGAAGGAGGGATGGCTTTTGAGTGCATAAATGTCATGAGCAGGTGTTTCCAGACTTACAGAATTTTAGGACCAGAAAGAGGCTCTGAAGTCATCCACTTAACCTTCCCAGCCTTCTCACTTTACAGCAGAGAGAAGAGGCCCAGATGTTAAGTCATCTTCCCAAGGTCACAGAGCCACTTACTGGTCATGCCAAGAATAGAATTCAGGTCTTCTCCTTCCTAGTGGAGCGCCTAGAAGTTTAACATTCCATGGAGTTCAAGGGAAGACGATCAGACTCAGGGATAAAAGTGTTGGCTGTGACAGGAGAGTGAGAGACTGACTTTTGGCTTTGTCGATTTTTAATTCACTGTTCTTCTGGGTCCAAATGATGAGCTGATTCTCTGTCTTTCAATACTGATATAGAGGAATTTTAACTTGGTAGTTGAAAAAATATTGGGATAAACTCAACAACATAGCCTTATGTGTGCCTATATATGCCAGATCTATAGTTTTATCTCTGGAGGATTATCCCAAAGCATTTGCTTATTTAATCTCTTTAGGCAATGAGACCCTTGTTTTTTCAGAGATTGGGTGGGCTTCCAACTCCTTGTTTATATAGTTTGTCAGTCACTTCTTTATCCTTTAAACACATTTAATAGTCCAAAGGGCATCATGCTTCTATTTTCATTGAGATGGAAAAGACTGGGAAAGAGAATAACTACTGAAAACTGAAAAACTGAAACCATTCTAGGGCATGTTAGAGTATGGAGGCTCTCACAGATGGCATATTTTAAGTAATTCTTCCTTTTAGAATAGTATTTGCCCTAGGCAACTGTCAAAGTACTTTAAGATACTTGATCTCAGTTTTTTAGCAGAATTCACGAGTCTTAAATCATCTTCAGTTCCAAAGAAAAAGTCTTGGGCACTTTAGCATTCCATATAAGAAGTATTTGTGAGCACCACAGATTCTGTGCCAGTTAGACCACAAGAATTCAAAGAATAAGACAAATCCTTGTTCTCAGCAAGTTCAGTCCACACTGAAGATTCCGTGAAATGTGGCCCACAGGGACTGTTCCCATCCTGAGAAGCCTGCAACCTTGAAATAAATCTGCAAGGAAATTTGGAGACCCTCTCCTGACATATCCTTACATTCCACCCAGGGAAGTACAGTTTAGTGGTTACTGTTACTCTCAGCACATGGAATCACTCAAAGAATTGCAGTTCTTCAAAAATGCTAAAGCTGAAACTTTTCCCCCAGACTTTTCAAATCGGACCATCCAGTGGTGAGGTCCAGGCTCTGAATTCTCAGAAAGTCTCACAGCTGATGCCGTCACAGTGAGTTCTATGTCATTTTGGTCCTAGATGGCAGAGTTTCAACTGTGTGTTAATAAAATAAATATCATTTTGATACTTCTAAGCCTCTGTTCTGGGGTTCATAATGATAAGAGTCAAGCTCAGAGTGTTCATTACCCATGGAAGATGCACATTTACATGACTGTATTCCAGCTAATGTACTATTTCCTCAGTGCTGGATGTTTTTCCCTAGAATCTCAGGACGCTGGCTCTCTCTTCTATTCTGAGGCTGGTGACGTGGTAACAGACTTTTCAGCCAAGCAGATCCGTCATGGGGCTTGTGTGCAGGCCATTTCCAGATGACAGAAGCATTCAAAAGAGACAGTTTTGAACTATCTGTTCTTTTTAAGTAATAGTCCAAATCCAGAACAAAACAATAACATATTTGGAAGCGTGGGCTATTTAAAACTAGAGACAGACTCTGCTTATAATTTTCAAAATTTTTTTAGCCTCCCATTTTATTATTTACAGATTCCTGACATGAGAGGTATTGATCATGATGACAATGCAACAGAAATAAGAAAGGGACAGTTCTAAGGCTTTCTTTTATTTAGTGACCTGGAAGAGCTCTGTGGATGGGGACCCACCACAAGAGGGCCATCGTGAGGCACCTCTCAGTGCTGCTGACTTCCAGCAGGAAAGCATGGCCGAGAGGCTATTTAGGGAGTATGAAGGGAAGACACAGGAATTAATACACAATCCCCTTGGGATTACTAGCCCATTATATCCTTTGCTAGAAATGCTAGTTTACTACTGGGTGAAAGCGTTATGTTTCCAGCAGTTGTCTATTAAAATGCCACTGAAGGAGAAGGAAGAATTACTGGCTATTCATACCTTGGCACAGAAAATAACATCTAACACAAAGAAAGGATCAGAAAGAACAGCTTCATATGGGCAAGTTTTGATTTCAGCTCAGTGAAGTTATTTGTTTCATTTATGGTGCATGGAATGGGAAAAGATATGAATGGCAAACCATATGAGTGGGTGATAGATTTTGAGCACTTGGTGCTAGGTGAAAAGAAATATGGCACCATGGTGTGTGAAGGCTGCAGTGAAGGATCTGGGGATGAGAGTACAGAAAGGGAAGACTGCAGTCACATTGCAGTACAGCCTCCAGGCCTACTCCAATCAGAGGACTTCTGCAGACCCATTCCATATAGCTAAAGCCCCTCAGTAAGTCTATGTGAGTGTATAAACACAAGATTGTGATGGGTGGTTTACCAATGAAAATCCCAATAATCCATAAAGGAAAAGAGGATAGGAACAGAGTTGCAAGTTGATGGCATTGCATACAGCAATAGACATTCAAGTGTGGGAATGAAGCAGTAACTACTCTGTATATTCCAAAAAGCAGTCGTACCTTCCTACCATTGGCTGTTATTGAGGCAAGTCAGTAAACTAAGTTCCTCTCTACCCCCACATACTCTTCATGTCTGCATTCATAATTGAAAGCATATACTTTTGATATGAAGTGAGAAGACTGACTTGAAAGGTACAGCATGCTAGACAACCTCAGCAAGGAACAATAACCAGTCTTCACTAGTCACTTACTTCTTAACATAGATTATATGAAGTACTTCAAAAAGTTCACAGAAAATGTAATTAAAGGATAAGTTTATTGTGGTGCAAAAAGTTTTCAAAATCCATGCATAGTTTTTTTATGTTTTTAGAGCTTGATAATTATTTTTTAAAACATATTTAAATGCGGAGAGACAGAGAAGAAAGAGAGAGAGAAAGACAGAGAGAGAGAGATGTTCCGTCCAATAGTTCACTCCCCAAATGGCCTCAACAGCGAGGGCTGGGCCAGGCTGAAGCTAGGATACAGAAGCTCAATCTAGTTCTTCCATGTGGATGGCAGGGTCCCAAGCACTTGAGATATCATCCGCTGTACATTAGCAGGAAATTGGATTGGAAGCAGGGGCGAGACTCAATCCCAGTCACTCTGAGCTGGGACGTGGGCATCACAAGCAGTGACTTAGCCCACTGTGCCACAGCATCTGCCTGCCACAATGTCTGCCTTGCATGGTGTTTTCATAATATGCATTTCCATGAACTCTTTGAAGATTCTTCATATAAGCAGCTCAACTAAAAACATTCAGAAGAGACTAAACGTTTCAAGCATGCTTTTTCCGAATCAATAATTTCCACACCTGCATCTCCATAGTGTGTGGGATATTAAAGTTTTCCCAATAGTTGAGAAAATTGTGTGCTTTTATTGACTTTCATATTAGATATTTATTTAAATGTTATTATCATTATATTTTTAGATATATTAAATAACTTTAAATGACTTTTGTACCAAAATAGACATTAAATAAACACAAAATAAATATAAAATAAAAACTAATAAACACTAATTTTAAAACTAGAACCCTTTGGAAAATGTTAGAGCACTCTTAACTCAATGTGGGCATCTGTCCACAAGTGTGGCTCTGCCAGATGAAGCTGAGCTATGGTGTGCAGCTACAAATACTACAGGAATATCTGTGCAGAAATATCTGCAGTGAAGGTTGGGCTACCCAACTGACCATGCAAACTTTGCTGGCAGCTGATGAAAAAAACCATATCCCACTCTACCACAGGAATGGGAAAGGCAGGCCAATACGCATTCCAGGCTCAGCACTGAATTTTGCTTTGTTTTATGAGTTTGAGCCATTTATGCTTAAAAATAGCCAACTGAATTCACTTTTTCTTAAATCTAGGCGAAATTAACAAAGTCATTCCTTCCTAAGTTCAAACACATGCATGCAAGAGGGTTTTATACAGTAATATTTGAATTTTTGAGTTTGTTTTCCTGTGGTATTTAGACAGCACAGCTACTAAGGTGGAAACAGGAAGATCCTTTACTCAATAATTGGGGGTGTTTTCTCTCTTGATCTCTTAATGAACTAAGAAGCCTGGTGCTCTTTCAAAACTAGCTTAATACAACATAAACAATGGAAACAGCATAAAGGGGAAGGGAAGGAGATGCTGATGGCTCTCTTTCTGAGGTCTTGGGCAACATCTTTAGTTAATTTCTCTTCCTGGGGCTGGCACTGTGGCACAGCAGGTTAATGCGCTGGCCTGACGTGCTGGCATCCCATATGGGTGCCGGTTCTAGTCCCAGCTGCTCCTCTTCCAATCCAGCTCTCTGCTATGGCCTGGGAAAGCAGTGGACGATGGCCTAAGTCCTTGGGCCCCTGCACCCATGTGGGAGACCCAGAAGAAGCTCCTGGCTTCTGGCTTCTGATTGGCACAGCTCCAGTCGTTGCAGCCAATTGGGGAGTGAACCAGCGGATGGAAGACCTCTCTCTCTGTCTCTACCTCTCTCAGTAACTCTGTCTTTCAAATAAATAAAATAAATCTTTAAAAAATTTCTCTTCCCAAGTCTTTATTCTCTGGTATAGAGAGATGCACCTTAGACACTGAGTGTCCACAGAATGGTTTGAGGTTACAGGGAGAAGATGGCAAAGGAAAAGGTCACCTTGTTCTTCTGGCAGTTGGCTGGGACCACTTCCACCTCATGGTCCCAAGCATGTCCTCTGAGATCTAGGCAAGTCTGAATGCTCTGAGCCTGCATGTATTTCTCATAATGCACCTCGGTGTGATGCAGGTGTGTGTGTGTGTGTGTGTGTGTGTGTGTTGGGGGGGCACACATTCAAGTACAACTGGGAGGCCAGTTCTGCATTGGGCAAGTCAGATGGAAATAGTGTCTCTGAGATTCAACTGGCTCCCTAGCTTCAGAGGAGCCACTTGAGTGATCCCAACTCCCTCCCTCCCTACAATCTGTGAGCAGCAGTCAAGTCAGTAGTGTTTCAGTGTACTCTGTCCTCCCCAGTATCAAATGAGAGTTCCATACACGGAGGGCCTGGATAGGGTTCAAATTCACATGATCTCTTCTATAAAATCAATGCTTTGGGAGTTCTCAAGTGAAGTTAATATTGCTGTTGTTAGGATAACCATGAGTCCTAAAGAGAGATGTAAAGAAGAGACCTGTGTTTTGGTTAGTCCAGAAATCTCTCCTCCCTTATTCAGGCCACAAGTTATCACTGAGGTATTCCCACCCCACTACTCCTACCCCATGGCTATGTTTATGGTATCAGTCCTTCTAGGGATCCCTAGGAATTTTACAGTAATAGCAAGTTAGATCATCATGGGATTGTCCTGAGGCTTTCATTCCTGAATGAAATACTTGTGTGCTAATTTCTAGGTGTGTGCATCACTCTGGAAGCCTACACTGTTCATCTTGGTTCTCTTTTATATTATGTATTTTTTTCTACTTGTCTTCCAGGATTTTGTTAGTTTTGAAAACCTATATTAATTGAAGTAGAGTTTTTCAACAACACTACCAGTGTGGAAAGAGAACTGTAAATCACTAGCGGTCTTGTGGCAAAGGCGGTATTGAGTGAACACACTCTAAAGAAGATTCAGTCATCTGAGCAACTGGCAACTAAACACAGGCAATGGACGATCCTGTATCCTAGCACTGCATAGTCTGCTACAACCTTTGCTGGTGTTCTATAGAATGTGTTGATATTTTTTACATATTTCAAATACCTAAAGTAGTGGTTTGGGAGAGTTTGGAAAAATACACACTAAGTTTCAATAAGTGTAGGGTAGGGCCCCAATTCTAAAAATATCCCAGGTGTTCTGATTTGCACAGCAAGGGTTGAAAACTCCTTATCTAGATATTTAGTTCTCAATTGCTCTTAAGATAAAGGAAGCCTAGATTCCTAAATCAGTTTCTCAAAGCCACACAGGGTAGTGAATATGCGAGGGCACTGCATACCTTGTTTCTCTACAGAGACAATCAACAGTTGGGACAGGACAATGATTTCTGATGTGGGATTATTGAAGATCTGATGCCTGCCCTCTAAATGCCAGAGAGCCTCCCAATCATTATGAGAACCTGAAACACTTCCATACCTTTCCAAACGCTCCTTCGGCAGCTAAGAACTCCTATTTCATTGAATATACCTGGCTCCAAAGGCATAAACATTTTAGATAAATTTCAGCCCTCAAAATATTTACTGCAGTCCCTTTGAGATGGTGATCTGAAGACTTACCAAGGCTCTAATATATTTTAATTTTGAAAGTGGCTATTATCTCTAAGATGATTTTTTAAAAACTAAACACTCGAATAATAATTGCTTAAACATAGTATTTCTATTATTTTATTCCTTTTTGTCATGAAGTTCCACCTAGCCCTTTGAATCTCTAAGATGGAAACCCAGAAAATGAGAGATGGTATGCTGTGGGTTAACCACTGCTCACTCTATGCTTCTCTTTTCCCGTAGAAAACCCAAAAAACAGCTGGTGCAGCAGCTCACTAGGCTAATCCTCGGCCTGCGGTGCCGGCACTCCGTGTTCTAGTCCTGGTTGGGGTGCCGGATTCTGTCCTAGTTGCTCCTCTTCCAGTCCAGTTCTCTGCTGTGGCCCAGGAAGGCAGTGGAGGATGGCCCAAGTGCTTGGTTCCTGCACCTGCATGGGAGACCAGGAGGAAGCACCTGGCTCCTGGCTTCGGATTGGTGCAGGGCGCCGGCCAAAGTGGCCATTTGCAGGGTGAACCAAAGGAAGGAAGACCTTTCTCTCTGTCTCTCTCTCTCTCTCTCAATCTGCCTGTCAAAAAAAAAAAAAAAAAAATGCTCCATGGAGAGTAAGTGCAGATATTTTATACTGAATTTTTAAACTACTGTGAAGATTTTTGTTTTTGTTACCATAAATTAATACTCAAAGAGAAATGGTTCTGGCCAGTGCCGCGGCTCACTTGGCTAATCCTTCGCCTGCGGTGCCGGCACCCTGGGTTCTAGTCCCAGTTGGGGTGCTGGATTCTGTCCCAGTTGCTCCTCTTCCAGTCCAGCTCTCTGCTGTGGCCCAGGAGTGCAGTGGAGGATGGCCCAAGTGCTTGGGCCCCTGCACCCCCATGGGAGACTAGGAGGAAGCACCTGGCTCCTGGCTTCAGATCGGCACAGCGCACCGGCTGTAGTGACAATTTGGGGGGTGAACCAAAGGAAGGAAGACCTTTCTCTCTCTCTCTCTCTCTCACTATCTAACTCTGCCTGTCCAAAAAAAAAAAAAAAAAAAAAAAAGAGAGAGAGAGAGAGAGAGAGAAATGGTTCTATGGGGGTATGTGGCTATAAATAAATCATAGTCTTCTGCCATCCTCTTTCTGAGATTCAAAAGTTCATTACTAGCATCGAATTTTGTCACAGAGCCAAGCTTTCCCACATATTATCCTATTTTGCTGAGGTATAACATACATCACTTTACCACACATTTTCACATCCACCAACCAGCCTGAGAGCATTTATACAACCACTGTATGTGACTTCAGCCAGTGATGGGATTGCTGAGTCTTGGATGACACTGGTACATCCCAGGTTTCCACTGGGTAAACCATCAAAGAGTAGGGCCTTTGGGTACATGGAGTTTATTCAGGCCACTTTAGGTATGAGGACTAAGAAGGATGCTCAGGATCACCTAAGTAGGCTCATATCCAGACAGCACTCTCACTGGAACTAAGCTTATGCTTTTGGGTTATGATGTAAGGAAGTGCTAGAGAATTACTGCATGTTTCCCTCCACTTGAAGTAATTCACATACTGTATTACAGAATATGTCCAGCTCTGGAGGTTGTTCTATGCAGCAATGTGTTATTGAGGACAGCACTCCAGGCAACAACCATAAGTAAATAAGGAAATGGCTGGTGTGGTATAAGCTGCTCAAATACAGTAGGGGGGACAATTATTTTCTCAGTGAACAAAGGCCTAATCCACTCTCATGCTTCCATATACATATCTGTAGACAGAGCAAGCCAACATGACAACACATTACTTGGCTCCATGAGGGCCACATCTCATTTATTCACCTTATTCTTCACAGACATTTACTGGATGTCAAAATTATCTTATTAGTCTGATGAAGCCCAACAAATGAACTTCATAATCCACACAATGCTTGGAAGTATGATGAACTTGTGAATACTCAGTATTTGAATGATCAGAATAGTCAACTACTCAGCTGTAATTGTAAAAGATCTGGTCAATTTTTACAGGCAATCTGGCAATTATTATCAAGAAAGGGCACACATCAAGATGTAAAAGAAAGAGGCAAACATTAAACTGATTTATACTGAAAATGGAAAGTCACACTTACTTCCTTACCTGAAATATTTTAGTCCCTGGGTTTCTTATTGAATTTGTAGTGGGAAGATGAGTTGTATCTTTTTAAAGAAATAAGCAGTCTTCAGTGTTTTTATAGCATTGGTTACTACAGAAATTATACTTCTTTTACTTCTTGTCTTGAAGGGTGAACAAAATAAACAAACTGAAAATACTACAATGAATGACAAATGATGAAAGATTTACAGTACAAAAAATAGTGTAAAAAGGAAGACAAGCTTAAATATCGTTGTGTAAGAAAGTGATGAAAATAATACAAGAATGAGAATAAGTAAAATGATAGGCTGGAACATCTGGGAAGGTAAATGCAAAGACAAAGAGAAGAGTTAATTAATAATAAATTTTAAAACTTAAATTCATGTCAAATAAGTATTTATTCAATTTAAAGTAAACACACCCCCATTATGCCTATACTCACAAAATATGAAAGCCTATAATTATATACAGTGCTTTCTTTCACTCTGATTTCTATTTTTTTTCCATGAGGGTATAATTGAAAAACCACAAGCTCAAAACAGTATTCAAAATCTGCAACAAGGAAACTAAAAACCAATTATTTTATATATAATAAATAGAAAAAAATAAACCTTAACATTTCAAAGTACAACAACTTTGATCACAAAAACTTTTTTTTTTTTATAGCAAAGCAGAGCAACATGCACGCTAAAGAAGCAAGAGGGTTGTGGTTTTTCTAGTCATGATTAACAGGCAGTTAGCTCAGGGCCATGCTTTTGTGCACAAGTTGATATCTGTACAGAAACGTCTTGCGTGTCTTAAAAGCCATGCATGCTATCATACTTCTGCGCGTACTCTAAAGGATACAGGGCAGCAGGCTTGCCAGAGGGGATAGCACTGCCTGTGTTGTTTCCTAAGTGACCTCTGATGTGGCTTACTCTGACAGAATGCATTGGTCCTCAAGTGGCCACATACCTGACCAATGCAGTTGAGTCCCATTCATCGGTTGTGCCTCTACAAATCACCGAGGAGGAAAAGGCTGGCTTTGCCTGTGCTGGAATAGTTGTTACTTTCCCCTCCAGATTAGTATTGCTTTAAATTGTAACACTACTTCCCCAATCCTCAGGTTCTCCACCACCTAACTGATGATGATTTTCTCTAAAAAATACGATCATGCCACTTCCGCCTACGGGAAAGGAGTGGTCTCCATGCGTTCCTTTCGGTAGGACAGGAGACTCAGGGTCATGTCTCTTCACCACTGATTTTTACATTGACCAGTCAACATCCATCTATCCTATTTCGTACTTACACACACACACACACACACACACACACACACACCTTAAACTCAATTTGGATCTTAGCTTTAAAATCTCAGATCAACACTTAGCGATTCCAATTCAGGCCTTCTTGCATCTCGATCTTTTCACAGAATGGTATGAAAATGTTGGCCTTCTAAAATACTAACGTATCTTATAAATCACTTCATCTTTATACAAAATCTGAAATGGCTTTGATAAATTTCCCTTTTAAAAGAAAACAGGCAGGTAAAGAGGTATTTGACTGAGAGAGTGAGTTCCCCAAACCTCAGGCCGGAAGGGCAGGATGAAGGAACAGGTGCTCCCTGGGGCGGGGACTTCCCTAAAGCGGGGCGTGGAAGTTGGAGCGCGGAGATGCCCCACGAGGGTCTGCAGCTCCGCGTGCCAGCCTCGCCAGCGCCGTGGCTCGCAATAGGCAGAACTGTACCTGACTCACGGATATGGGCTCCTCGGAGCCGCGGTCGTCCGCAGACTTGGGCACCTCGAGGCGGTCGATGAAGGTCTGCAGCTCCTTGCGGAAGGCCTTCATCTGCGCGTTGATGCGGTAGAGCAGCTCGTGCTCGCGGATGCGGCTGCCGTCGTCCTCCTCGTCCATCAGTCCGAACAGGTCCCCGTTGGCCACGTAGATGCGCGCCTCGGTGATGATGGTGCTCGTGTCGGCGATGAGCCGGTCGATGGTCTTGCCCAGGCGCTCGGCCTCCGAGCGGATGTCCTTCATCTGCTGCCGGTCGGAGAAGCTCTTGGGCCAGGGCCCGGGCGCGGGGTAGAAGGAGCGGGTGGGCGTGAGGCAGCGGATGTTGCGCACCTCCTCCGAGTCGCTCTCGCCACCAATCGGCCCTTCGCGCTTGCGGTGCGGCGGGCGCGAGTCGTCGTCACTCTCCTTTTTGCCCGCGTCGCTCTCGGCGTCGCTGTCGCGGGGGCTGCCGCGGATGCCCAGGTGCGAGGCCAGGTCATAGCGCTGCATGTTGGACATGAGCACGCGGTTCTCGTACTGCAGCTGCATGACCTTGCCGCTGAGCTCGTTGATCTGCAGGCGAGCCGCCTTCAGTTCCTCCTGCAGAGCCTCGGTCTTGGCGCTGTCGTGGTGCCGTGCGCTCTCGTGGCCGCCGGACTTGTACTTGTACTTGTTGAGCTCCGCGGTGATGCGCTTGTTCTGCTCCTCCAAGTCGGCCACGTTCCTGCGCAGCAGCTCCGTCTCGTCTTCCACCAGCTGCAGGTGCTGCCGCAGCTCCGACAAGGACTCGCTCTGCTCTCTCATGAGCGGATTGGCTGAGCCATTGAAGTCATCGCCTCTCAGGTCGTCCAGCTCCGCCTTTAGCCCCCTGTTCTCCACTTCCAGTTCCACAATTTTCCGGCCCAGGATGTTGGCTTCTTCCTCCACCAGCCTCAGCCGCAGCTTGAGCTCGGCCTCCCGGGTGCTGGGAGGACCCCCGGCTTCTCCTTTGGGCAGAGGACTGTCCAGATCCCCATAAAAGGATCTGTACTTCTGAAGCTCGTGTTCGAATCTGTCCTTTTCTTTGTCAATCTTGGCCATTTTCTTCCTCATCAAAGCAGCTTCTTCCTTAACGAACTGCAGCTGGCATTTCAGATCTTCATTGTCCTCCTCATTGGGGGGAAAAGAGGGAAAAGGATCATTTTTATGTAAATCAAAAACAAAACAAAACAACAATCAAAAAAGGACACCTGCAAAAATTTCTGTTTCTTGTAATTAAGATTTAATGACATGGAGAGACTTAGCTGCAGTATCTTTTTCTCCAAATCACTGAAATTATTTGGCAAATTAAAGAATAGGACAGTATTACATCTGGGAAGCGAAAAAGGGAATGAGATACCGAAAGAGAAAAGCTGTAGTCATCACTATTCAGAAACTGTTCTGCGAGGGTACTGAAAAAAGTTTGTGTTTTTCCTTGTGGGCATTTTCTGTGAACTTGCTGAAGATGCTTTGTAGACATTGAGTTCAAAACTTTTTTTCACCAAAAATAAGCATCTTTCATTTTTAAGGATTTTGATTTATTTATTTTCACTTTATTTGAAAGTCAGTGAGAGGGAGAGAGAGAGAGAGAGAGAGAGAGCAAAAGAGAGAATCTTCCATCTGCTGGTTCACTCCCCAAATGGCTACAATGGCCAGAGGTGGTCTAGGCCAAAGCCAGGAGCCAGGGACTTCACCCTGGTTTCACACATGGAGAGCAGGGGTCCAAGCACATGGGTTATCTTCTGTTGGTTTTCCTGGTACATTAGCAGGAAGCTGAATTGGAAGCAGAGCAGCCAGAACTTGAACTAACACTCCAATATGGAATGGCAGTGGCTTAACTTAACTGAGCACAATTCCATCCCCTATAAAGGTTTTTACACATGTGTCCTAACTTAATGTTCAGAGTAAACTTACCAGTAGTTATTGAAATTCTTGGTTTAAAGATGTTTAGTGACTTGTTCAAGGTTACCCAGTTAATAAATAGCAAAGTAAAAGTGAAATTTGAATTGTTTTGTCTGAAACTAACACTCATGATCACTGTGCCTTCTATAAAATAATCTGTCTTCCACCTTCATTGAAAGGATATTTGTTTAAAAAGCCGGTAAGTGAGGAAAGTTTGACGCTGGAATGGCCCATTCAATGACAAATTAATTGGTATTCCACTGAGATGCATTTATTGTAAAATGTATTCCCATCAGTCTGATATGGATAGAGCTGGTTTGCATGGTGAAAAGATAATGGAGTAGACTTTGTGGAAGTTCTTTTCACATAGTCTATGACAACCTTCAAGTGCTAACCAAACTAAACTGAACTAAACTAAAGCAGAAATGGAAATCCATTCTTTCACTGAGAGCTGTAATAGAAGCACTACTATGCCTGAACATTTTTGCCAAGGTCAAGCTCCCAAAATTCTCTTTTAAGTATGTACTTTGGGCTAGTCATGAAACTTCTGTAGACACTGATTTCTTCAGGTTACAAATGGAAATGAAAATACCTTCTTACCCAACACTGAGAGTCACCTGTGTTTGAGAGGCACTCTGGTAAAGTAGGAGCAATCTCTGGTGGGGAGGGTGAGAAGAATGAGCTTTTCCAGAGATGCTCAGCCAATATGGCCCAGAGTGCTTGAGTTTGAAGAAATGATGAAATGGCACAGATCTCCTAATAGGAATGTGAAGAACATCACATTCCTGTTACCACCAAGTCCTCACTCCAGCCCTTTTACAGATAAAGCAATCACATTTCAGAAAGATATCCTAATTTGCTAAAGCACAAAGCACAATTTCTATTTCTTCTTTCCATTGCACATGTAGTCTCTGGAGAAAAAGCTCAAAAGAACAGGGCAAAAGGGGAAGATGAAGGAAATCAGATGATCTGGCTTACACATGTTCCTGTAGAAGTTATTTAGGAGAAAGGATGGAGGCACAGTGAGAAGAGACAAGAGAACCTCAGCAACTTCCAAGGAGAAGTGAAGGAATGTACTGAAAGCTTGGATGTGGGACTCTACTACACAAGGGAGGAAGGAAGTTGCCCTCAGACTTTGTGTGGGGCCCTCACACGAATGCATATTCCATTAGAACCAAGGACACAGTACAAGGTTTAAGATCACATCTGCAGAGGCATTAATGATAACTCTGAAGTTTTGAATTTAAGAGTCTTCTGGATTATACTGCCAATAAGAGTTCTTTCAGGTGTCACAGGGGCAGCTACTGAGAGGAAAAATCTCACATCAGGTATGTGGAACCTCAAGTCCAAGATCAGAAATATTACAGTTTGGGAATTGGGGAGAATTGAGGTCTAAAGGTGAGTCCAGGAGAAAGCAATGCACATAGGTGATGGTTGAAGCTACTGCAATGGTTACACAGGCAGCCAAGGAGGAAAAGAGAAGAGAAGAGGAGAAGAGAGGAGAGGAGAGGAGAGGAGAGGAGAGGAGAGGAGAGGAGAGGAGAGGAGAGGAGAGGAGAAGAGAGGAGAGGAGAGGAGAGGAGTGGAGAGGAGAGGAGAGGAGAGGAAAGGAGAAGAAGAAAATAAAAGGTCAAAGTTTGGGAAAGCGTAGGGCTTTATGCTTGATAGAAGTTGTTTATTGCAAGAGAAAGCTTTTATTTGCTAGTACAAAAAAATGTCAGCATATGCTGAAGTTTGAATCTAAGCAAAACTGTAGTGGCTATGATACAAACCACAGATTGGAACAGAATAACACTTCACTGGGCTATATTAAGCACACAGAAGACAGAAAAATAACTGATTTATATGTATATAAGCACTCCTGCCCAAAGGAATGAAAGCATAAACATTGCTTTCAGACTTGGACATTTACTGCATGCAATAAAGTCACCATGAGGGAAGGAGATTTAGCAAGAGGAAGATGGACATGGTGATAATTGTACTTATTGAAAAAGGAATCCTTTTAAGGTACAAAGTTTGCTAGTTTTCACAATGCCAGGAGTTCAAGAACCCTACATGAAGGGGCAAGGTGATGTGGTGTTTGGAACATTTGGACCTCTTATCAGAGTATTAGTTCAAGTCCTGGCTAGTTGATTTCCTATCAAGCTCCCTGCTAATGTGCCTCAGAAGCAGTGGGTGATGGCTAAAGTACCTGAGTTCCTGCCACCACATGGGACATTTGGATGGAACTCCTGGTTCCTGGCTTCAGCCTGGCCCAGCCCTAGCTGTTGTGGGCATTTGTGGAATGAACCAACAAATAGAAGATTCTCTCTCTCTCTCAAATAACTGAATCTTTTTAAAAAAGAAACATATATGCTGTATGCTTTTGTCCTCCTTTTGTAATCTAACATCTGTGGGTTGATACGTAATTGTCAAAAAAGTAAGATTTATAGAAAGTTCCTGGTACATTGTAACCAAAGAGTAAATGTTTGTTCCTGTTTTCCATGATGAATAGGAAAGAATGAATAAATTACTCTGGGAGGTGAAGCAACTTGTTTAGTAGTTTTGTGTATGTTTGGGACTTGCTCAAAAGAAGATACACATGACGTATGAGGATTATAAAACTGATGGAAAGTCAGGAAGAAGTGAGCTGAGCCAGGCTTTGGCTTGAAGAGGCATTATGGGATACTAAATTAGATTCTAATTACATACATTAACTCATTTAATAAATATGCAACACAATTCTCTATTACAGTCTCTATTTTATATAGAAGAAAACAGACACAGAAAGAACAAGTGACTTGTCTTAGGTTAATACAGCTGGTATATTCTAGAGATTTCAACCTAAGTAATCTGACCCTAACTTTACTGTTTTTAATTGTTGTGCAATGCCATTTCTCAGCAAGCAAAGTCACTCTGCTGCTGGAGGAACATGTAGAGAAATGGGGCAAAGAAGCTGACACAAATTAACAAAATGAAATACAAAGCTATTTGAATAATAGTAAGTTGCATTCTATAAAATTGCCACTCTGTCAATCAAAATGAATAGCAAGTTGGCAATAAAAGTGTCTGAAAATGAATATGTTGAAAATGACAGAAAGATTTCAATGCCACAACACTGTACTTATAAATTTCCCTGGAACTTTATGCCAGTGAAAGAAAAACTGGTGAATTGTAAGGCATCCTGACTTTTGTCAAGTCCCAGGTTCCCACAAAGAAACTGATGAGAGCTGTGAATGTCTTTGACAGAAAGATGCCCACATGATATGGGGGTAGCAGTTCAGCATCAGAAACAGTCAGTTAACAATTCCTGGTTTAGGGATTATTAATGGGAAGAATATACAAACTTTAAAATAAGAAGTTTAAGAGGACGACAAATATATATTTCATAAAAATAAATGACTAAGTAAAGCTGATGTAAGATTTCAAAACAGGAGCACACACCATGTACTCCTCAAAGTAGGGTGAATTTTCCTGACAGCACATGAAGTGACCCACAGCAGAATGAGGTAGCTAAAGTTATGGAAAAGATCAAGTGGAGAAGTAGTGGTGGCAGAGAATATTTAGGCTTTTTAAGGGAATGAGAAGAAAAGCGTGAAAAAGATGTCATCACCTACATATGAAATTCACTGGAGCCGGCGCCGCGGCTCACTAGGCTAATCCTCCGCCTTGTGGCGCTGGCACACCGGGTTCTAGTCCCAGTCGGGGCGCTGGATTCTGTCCCGGTTGCCCCTCTTCCAAGCCAGCTCTCTGCTGTGGCCCGGGTGTGCAGTGGAGGATGGCCCAAGTGCTTGGGCCCTGCACCCGCATGGGAGACCGGGAGAAGCACCTGGCTCCTGCCATCGGATCAGCGCAGTGCGCTGGCCGCAGCGGCCATTGGAGGGTGAACCAACAGCAAAGGAAGACCTTTCTCTCTGTCTCTCTCTCTCACTATCCACTCTGCCTGTAAAAAAAAAAAATAAATAAAAAGAAAAAAAAAAGAAATTCACTGGAATTCCAGAAATGTGGAGCCCCTATAACTGTTGTGCAAGAACCAGGAGAAAAATTAACCAAGAAAAGAGCAAGGAGAGAAAGGAAGGGGGGAAATAATACACATTCAATGTGTGGTTTAGAATGTGATTGCAATTAACTTTTTTGAACTTTGAATATGTAACTATTACTCTAGTTAATGTTATTTAATGACAAAATACCTTGTAATGGTTTTTTAAAATTTATACTACACTGCCACAGATTCCAACTTAGATATTTAAAACGAGTATTAAGCCAAATGTTTCTGGAGTCATAGTACCTCTTTTTTTCCCAAATCTTTCTTCTTCTGTTTTAAAATTCTAACTAGTATGGGGGGGAGCCATTGTAATCCATAAGCTGTACTTTGGAAATTTATATTCATTAAATAAAAGTTAAAAAAAAATTCCCTTCATGTTTTCATCAACGCCTTCACCTTGGAAGCAGAGTTAATCTTTATTATGGTAGTTTCTTTCTCTTATTTAAAAGGTGTATTTATTTTTTTAGTTTGAAAGACAGACACAGAGGAAAAAAGAGAGATCTTCCATCTGCTGGTTCATTTGGCAAATGCCCACAATAGCTAGCACCAAATGTCTGACCCTTCTATGGCTGTGTTTCTAGTATTCTTAACAAGCCAATATTGAATATTGAGTTTTATTTTTATTTCTTCGTTTCATTGTGCTTCTCCAGTCACTGATTCAGAGAATTACTTCATTATAGGGCTCTCTTAAGACATCATAAGCCTCTCCTCCCTTCTACCATCCCTTCCTAAAACATCCCTTTTTTATTCCCCCATGGATGCTATAGGAACAATCATTCTATTGACCTATTAGGAAGGAACTAGATTAGCAACAGAGGTACAGATCTCTAGTACAGCATTGAATAAAGTACTAATCTCATTCTGCAGCTTTGACAATATAAAAGCCAATTATAATAGGGTTATTAGTGCTGGTTTTATAATCAAATATACTGAATATTTTATACCACTTGTCTCAATGCATATTGATATGCATAATTTAACTTTTGCAGAAGTCTAGCTAGCCATTACACCTATTTATAAATGTAACTGTACATACACTTAGAGGTGCTCAATGTACTTACTGTAATTTTATTTCCACATACCTCTGGGGGAGTCTGCTGAGTCCTTTTTTCAGATTTTGGTAAATCTTTGCTTCCTCTTCTTTTTAAGGATAGCTGAAACAAAGCAGGAATACATTTAGTTTTGTAAACTATAATTTTAATTTAATTTCATTCAACTTTGTGTTTTTAGTAGTTCTAATTCCATATAACAAAACCAAGCCAGACAGCTTTAGATATGTTTTAACTTTGGACTGGAATAAACCTCACAGTAGAACGAAGCTGATGACTATCTAATCAATTTTGGAAATGCGGGAAATCTAACGTGAAATCCAGAAAAACAACTCAGACAGAATTTAGACTGATGATGCAATATGCTATGTTTTTGTAATGAAAGAAAATGATTGCTAGTATTCCACATTATTAAGGAAAAACACAAGAGAGTAAGTAATTTCATGTTGGAGTTAGATTGCCAGAAGCTTGTAACAACAAACTCTGAATGGTTTCATGTAGATTTTGAAGAATATCATTCTTCTCTCACCACACATCCATGCAAACACATCCCCACCCACCACACACACACACACAACACACACACACACAATACAAAAGACATAGTGGAAGTTGTTGTCAAATGGAGAGGGCATGCCCCAACTAAAGCAGCAGGTGGACTGTGAGTGGCTTCAGCTCATCAGTGCAACACGGGAATATGGGCTTTTGCAAGAGAAGACATAAATCTGGACTGGTATATAAAATCTTTCACATTTTGTTGGTTGGTCCTAATTGAATTCAAGCAAACAATACTTTGCAAGTCAAAGAACACATACATAGTACCAAACTGCTTCAGTGGTCCTCAGTACCATTTCTCACTCAAAGATAATAAGAAAGTTCTCTTTCTGACACTAGTAATTATCCAGATGCACAAGTATCTACCTTATACTAGACAGTGAACTGGATATCCAAAGTTCAATTAGATAGTGCACTGACTACCAGGAGGCTCAAATTCAGCATGGGAGACAGGGAAGTAAACAATTGTGATAAAAGCTGGCAATGCCATGCTCTAGGTTCTTTATGGCAGGGACATTGTCTTAGTGTGACACCTCCACCATGAGGATAATGCTTGCCACATGTAAGACAGTGAAAAGAATTTGCTAAATTAGTGAGCTAACATAAAATATGGGATTCTGAAGTCAAAGAGAAGGATGGAGGTATAAACTGACATTTATACAAGCAGGAAAGATTTCTCAAGAGAGGAGGCTTCAAGAATTTGCAAAGAGGGGTCTCCACTGTAGCACAGCAAGTAAAGCAGCAGCCTGGGAGGCTTGTATCCTTGATGGGCACTGGTTCAAGTCCTGGCTGCTCCACTTCCAATCCAGCTCTCTGCTTGTGTGTCTGTGAAAGCAGCTGAGGTTGGCCAAGTATTTAGGCCCTTGCACCCACGTGGGAGACTCAGAAGGAACTCCTGGCTCCTAGCTTTGGATCTTCCCAGCTCTGGCCATTGCAGTCATGGGGAGTCAACCAGGATATCTCTCTCTTTCACTCTCTCTGTCAACTCTGCCTTTCAAATAAATAAATAAATCTTTTAAAAAAAGAATTTGCAAAGAACAAAATTAAATTCTTCATATGCTAATTTATTTTAACTTTTTTTTACGTGAGAAGCAGAGAGAGAGAGCACGAGTGCACAGGCTCCCATCTTATAGCCCACTCCCAAACATACATAATGGCTGGACTGCACTGAAGGTCAGGGATGGGGATGTGATCCAGATGTACTTGACTGGTAGGAATTCTACTACTTGAAACATCACTGCTGCATTCCCAGGTCCCCATTACCAGGAAGCTGGAGTCAGGGGCTAGAACTGGGAACTGAACCCAAGAAATTGATGTGGGAAATGGACTAAAGGCCCTGTCCTTCCATATGCTAACTTGTAATTGTATCCAGTGTTAAAAGAAAGCACAGAGGCAGTGGAATACATTGGGACAACTGCTTTTATTTAGTGAAATTGAAACTGCCACTTCACACAAACTTTATTACAAGTTCCAATGGTCTCTCAGTGGAGTCTTTTGGACCCCCTATAGATAGAGTCATGTCATCTGCAAATAGGGATAGTTTGACTTCTTCTTTTCATATTTGTATCCCTTTGATTTCTATTTCTTGCCTAATGGCTCTGGCTAAAACTTCCAGGACTATATTAAATATCAGTGGTGAGAGTGGGCATCCTTGCCCAATTCTAGATCTTAGGGGTAATGCTTCCAGCTTTTCTTCATTCAATAAGATGCTGGCCATGGGTTTGTCATAAATTGTCTTGATTGTGTTGAGGAATGTTCCTTCTTAACCCAATTTGTTTAAGATTTTCATCATGGAAGGATATTGTATTTTTTTTTTTTTTTTTGACAGGCAGAGTAGACAGTGAGAGAGAGAGAGAGAAAGGTCTTCCTTTACCGTTGGTTCACCCTCTAATGGCCACCGCAGCTAGCACACTGAAGCCGGTGCACCGTGCTGATCCGAAGCCAGGAGCCAGGTGCTTCCCTGGTCTCCCATGCGGGTGGCAGGGCCCAAGCACTTGGGCCATCCTCCACTGCACGCCTGGGCCACAGCAGAGAGCTAGCCTGGAAGAGGGGCAACCGGGACAGAATCCGGTGCCCCAACCGGGACTAGAACCTAGTATGCCAGTGCAGCAGGTGGAGGATTAGCCTATTGAGCCGTGGCACCGGCCTAGGATATTGTATTTTATCAAATGCTTTCTTTGCATCTGTTGAGATAACCATATGGTTTTTGTCCTTCATTTTACTAATGCCATGTATCACATTTATTGATTTGTGAATGTTGAACCATCCCTGCATACCAGGGATAAATTCCACTTGGTCAGGGGTGAATGATCATTCTGATGTGAAAAAATGCTAGGGTCCTAGGCATCGGGGAAATGCAAATCAAAGCCACAACAAGGTTTCACTTCACTCCAGGTAGAATGGTTCTCATACAGAAATCAATGAACAACAAATGCTAGTGATGATGTGGGGAAAAAGGTACCCTAATCCACTATTGGTGGGAATGTAAACTGGTGCAGCCACTATGGAAGACACTATGGAGACACCTCAGAACTCTGAATATAGACCTACCATATGATCTGCCATCTCACTCCAAGGAATGTACCCAAACCAAAATAAATTAGCATATGAAGAGTTATCTGTACTCCCATGTTCATTACAGCATAATTCACAGTAACTAAGATATCGAATCAACCCAGATGTCCATCAACTGTAGACTGGATAAAGAAATTATGATATATATTCACTATGGAGTACTACTAAGCTGTAAAAAAAAAATGATATCCTGCCTTTTGCAACAGGATGGGCACAACTGGAAGCCATTGTACTTAGTGAAATAAGCCAGTCCCAAAAAGATAGATATCATGTGTTTTCCCTGATCTGTGGTAACTAATAGAGTATCTAAAATGTAATGTGCTGGAGTGAAATGGACATTTTGAGATTCAATGTTTTTTTTAGAGCACTTGTGTCTTCCATTGAGAAACAGTGTTTTTTTTTTTTTTTTCTTAATACTATATGTTATACTCTTTCTCTTGGTGCAGGTTTAACTTTATGATCATTAAATAAACAGAAAATAAAAATAAACTGAAAAAATGAAATGAGATAAATGAGTAGTCCAGAGGATTAGTCACTTCTAGTTGATTTTTTTTTTCATAGAACAGTTCTCTACATTGTTTGGATAACTGTCTTAGAAATGAAGGCTGTGGAGACTGAGTAACCATAATCAAAGGTGATTTAGGAACCAATCAGTGAAAAATAGTACCATGAACACCAAGAATACATTATTAATGAGTGGTACTGAAGAATATGGAACATTGTAAGCAGGAGATAGCTACAAGAAGCCCTAAATTCCATTTTAATAAATTTACTGAATTGAAAAGTCATTGCTCAAGATGTAATACACATTTTTATGGGTTACAGAGTAATATTTCAACACATGTATACAGAATAAATGGATCACCAGGTAATTAGCATAGTTACCATTTCCATTTCCTTATCTTTTCTTTTTATGTTTGAAGACTATGAGCTCTTCTGCTGAAGAACGCTAGACTTTATTACTTTTAACTGTTATTATTTCTGTTACACAACCTCCCTCTATTCTCTGTCCTTACAGCTTTCTCAGTCTACAGAGCTCATTATTCTAAGATGAGATCTACTTTCTGAAAAATGAAACAAAACAAAACTTGTGCATCTGAGAGAACATGCAGTATTTATTTTTCTTTCTGGTTTAATTACATCCATTTTGAGGCAAATGACAGGAGTTCATTCTTTTTTATGGCTGAATAATATGCTAGTAGCAAAGGAAATTCTTGAGACCCATCCTAGGCCCACTGAATTAGATACTCAGGGTAAGGGACTCAGCCATCTATGATTTACTGAACTTGCTGGATGATTCTGATGTACATTAAAGCTTGTGTTGGTCTCAGGTTACTATGAGATAAGAGGAAGAATCAGATCTTGACGCAAGTCTTTTTCATTTCTTATTGTATTCTATAAGGGGTCTTCAAAAAAAACTCATGGAAAAGACATGTCAAAAAATTACTGATGAATTTCAAAATGTTCTTGCACCAAAACAACCTTTTCTTTCAATCTTATTTTTCCACAAATGTTCTGATGGTCTCTTATAATCAATCATAGAGGAGAATGGCTTAATCTAGCCTGAGGCTGGAGATGGTGCAGGTAGATGATTTCCAGAAAGAAATAACAGTTTATCTCAAATTTGATGGCCAAGTTGTTAGCCAGTGGAAGATGGAGAGAAAGGCAAGGGAAGAGCAAAGCATTCTATGTGGAAAATCCATGTCTGGGACACAAGGAAATTTAGTATGGGTGTAGCAATGAGGAGAAGTGTGACATGAGCTTTACTGATGGCAGAAATCAGAACTTGAAGGACATGGGATAAAGTTTGGATTTAATCTCATAGATCAAATTATTGTTCTAAGAACAATTTGGAGCACTGAAGGAATTTAAACAAGGAGTGTCAAAATTAGACTGTCAAAAAAGACATCCAAAGACACAAAGGAGGCAGTGCAAATGGCCATGAGATAAAAGGATGACACACAACGGTTATTTTG